GCGTAGTATACTAACGTGAAGGTTTTTCAGTTTTTTCCTATCTTCTACTACAGTTTTGGTCCGATTCTTTTGAAATTGGTGTCGTCGGAAAGATGTTGTAAACGCGCACAACTCCTGCGTGGCGGAATTTTGTTTTTTGTCATAGGGGCGAAATTAACGACCTTTTGCGAGGCGGCGCGCGCGTCTTCGAGAAGTAGTCAGGCGCCTTTTACCTTCCGTTGCGAACTCACGCGGTTTAACGTTTCGTGAATCTCGAATCGCTGTCTCTCTTTCTCGTGTCGCCAATAGAAGTGAATTGCGAGTGAACGGGACGTCGGAAGTGGGTACCGTAAAAGAGAATGTGGTAGCCCGCGACACGATCTCACTGATGGTGGAGTCAAATCTTCAAACGCGAATTGCGAGTGAACGGGACGTCGGAAGGGGGTACCGTCAACGGGAATGTGGTAGCCCCCGACACGATCTTCCTGATGGTGGAGTCAAATCTTCAAACGCGAATTGCGGGTGAACGGGACGTCGGAAGTGGGTACCGTAAAAGGGAATGTGGTAGCCCGCGACACGATCTCACTGATGGTGGAGTCAAATCTTCAATCGCGAATTGCGGGTGAACGGGACGTCGGAAGGGGGTACCGTCAAAGGAAATGTGGTAGCCCCCGACACGATCTTCCTGATGGTGGAGTCAAATCTTCAAACGCGAATTGCGGGTGAACGGGACGTCGGAAGGGGGAACCGTCAAAGGAAATGTGGTAGCCCCCGACACGATCTTCCTGATGGTGGAGTCAAATCTTCAAACGCGCGGGTGACGGGACGTTGCGGGTGGCCGTCGTCGAAGTGGGTACCGTAAAAGGGAATGTGGTAGCCCGCGACACGATCTCACTGATGGTGGAGTCAAATCTTCAATCGCGAATTGCGGGTGAACGGGACGTCGGAAGGGGGTACCGTCAAAGGAAATGTGGTAGCCCCCCGACACGATCTTCCTGATGGTGGAGTCAAATCTTCAAACGCGAATTGCGGGTGAACGGGACGTCGGAAGTGGGTACCGTAAAAGGGAATGTGGTAGCCCTCGACACGATCTTCCTGATGGTGGAGTCAAATCTTCAAACGCGAATTGCGGGTGAACGGGACGTCGGAAGGAGGTACCGTCAAAGGGAATGTGGTAGCCGCCGACACGATCTTCCTGATNCTTCGTATGGGTTAGATAGAGACGAAAATATAATGGATTAATTTTTGTGCACCTCACAGGCGGCCAGTGCTACAGTTGGCGGCTACCTGCGATGATTGACTTGAATGTTTTTATACTAGAAGAGCTAATAGGTTAACACTTTGCCGCTTTTACAATAGTGTGGGCAAAGACTTTTTTAAATTGAAGTGCTCTACTGTAATTTCTGATCATCCTATTGCTCATTGAATAACCTCCCTACTTAACCCTTTTCTTTGTGCGAAAGAGGAGGTAGGATGTCTAATCTACGACAATTTCTTGTCATATTTTCCTTTATCTGTGCACATCTCCGATCTCGTCGGTTACAGCTCGTATATGCAATATTTTTTTTACATTCAGACAAAATCTTTTTGGGCAAGTTGTGTATGATGCCCCCAGCTTTACCACTGAGGCGTGATACTCTTATCAAAGATTAATGTCCCAGATTTGACCAATAATGCTATGCGAGTTAAGGGTAACACGAGGAAAAACTTAAATCACACAATTTTTATTAAAATAATTATTAACTAAGAAATAAATAACAGCTTCTAAAATACTGATTTTGCATTACTCCCAATAAAAAGAAGTACAGCGACAGCCCGAAGGTTCTGGTCCACATTGCGTGAGACTTCCAGAAAGAGCAGATTTTCCGCGGCAAGCGTTCCATATTCCACAGGATATGGTGCAGCCCAAACTAAATCCTCCCGCTTCCACGGTGCCAAGATGGGCGACAAGGACCATCATCATCACAAAAGCCGAAATTACAACAATATTCTGTGAAAACAAAATTATATGTTAATTATAAATGGTTTAAAACCATTAGGTGTATATATCGTCTTACCTTCATGTTAGTTGCTAAATGTTGGTCGCTCCTTAAACGATTGCGAATAACTGATAGTTACTGTACGGGATTCAGTGCTTTTATATACCAATCAAAGTGACGTAAATGTTTGCTACAGGCCACCAGTTTCTATATTTTATAAGATGTAAATAAGTACATCCCCGCTATCTTTCATTGTGTAACGTTATCGGTTGACCTATCAACTTTTTTTAATTTCACTGTGCAAATATTATAAGGGAACACGGGGAATTATTTCTTCCTACTGAGTAGGTATCTACTATTGACACGAAAAGTGGCTGAATGGATTTTTTAATTACCTTCGGGATGACTGTAGCTGTAGCCGAAGTTACGTCATTGCCCGTGCTGAGAAACATTTCGTAGTAATGTCGGTACCTATATCAAATTTAGAAGAAATTGAAACTTTTTCGGGTTCGATGACCTTGGTATAAAAAATTTGAATATTAGAAATTATGCGTATATTTGGACGAAGCTCTTTACCCCCAGCTTATTTGTAAACAAGTATAAATTGTGCACAATTCTTATTTTTTTTAACCGAAATAGCTTTTGTTTTGACATCACCAATGGATATATTTCTTCCAGACGTCTCAATCGCCCTTTGTGAGTACCCTCGGCCTCTTCCGACAATCCGTTCTTGAGGTATAAGGAAATATACCCGATCACGATAAGAGGTCGAGGAGGAGGGCTATGGTTGGTAGAAATTAATTCCTTTCGTTGAAACCTTTCATTAGAGTACCATAATAAATAAAATTTTAACTTGGAACCACTAAAGGCATGCGTATGCAAAATCTGAGACCAAATGGTTGTCGTATGTAAAAGTTATGCACGTTTTACTTTCAAAAACAGCATCTGAAGAAATAATTCGTGGGGAGGAGCCCACTTCCCCTAGAAGTACTTTGAAACGGCAGAAGTGGATCCGGACGGACGGACAAAACGCAAACAATAGGACATGTTTTTTAATTCTTAAAAAATGCGCTAAACATTTTTTTTGTTAGATAATACAGATTCAAGTCCTTCACTTATGAAGCTTGAGACCTTTTTAAATACTACAGGGCGTTTTTTTAAAGATGGGCCATAGAATGTACACCCCTAGCATAACGCAATGTAAAGGTGTTGAGTTATTTAAAATGGGCCATAGGGAAATTTATATTGCGCCAATTGTTCTCAGATCTTGGTTATATCACTGACAGTTCGCAATCTCATCTGATCCTTCAAACTGCATCAACGAAGCAGCAACATGTATTCCGCCGCTCGAAAATGTGTTCATGTAGTACAATTTGTACAAGAGTGAGCACAGTAGTAGCAGAGTGGTATGCGATCTATTCAGTGCCGAGTATCGGGCATTGTTTCGTTACCGGTGGAAAACAATTCAAGCACCGATTGTAATTTTATACGTTTATATCTGATTTGAATAAATTTGTTGATTTGGAAACAATGTCTACAGTACTGTGGCAGATGATTCGCGAGGAAGCTATGACTGAAACAATTGATGCAATGTAAATTTATTCCCCAATGTCCCATTTTAAATAACTCAAAGCCTTTACATTGTCGTATGGCCCATCTTTAAAAAAACACCCTGTATGAAAACAGTAACATAGCATAAACAAGATAAACATACTGACACCTTCATATCATGTAGGGTTTCAATTGAGGAAAACTTCCAGTCAGTGTAGGTACTAAAAAATGACCTGTAGGTACTACGATGCATAGGTAGTGTGGTATATAAAACGTTTACATTGATGTTATCGATGTTTAGATTTGTGGCCAACATACTATTTCCTTAAATAAATAAGCAATTAGGTTTGAATATTTCTAAAGAGTATCATACTATAATTTTTGGTCACCTAAATCTGAGTTGCACTGCGGATATTTTTACTTATGAACAACTACATCCTACATCATAAACAGATGCTCCAGAAACCTATTCAGAAAGTGGTGGAGTTTTCCAAATCCATTCGATTTGAGAATACAGGGCGTGCTATATAATGTACTGTAACGAATATAATAGAAATCCAGAGGGACATCGGGTCGCCAGCAGGCGCCATCGAGGCGCGTCTATTGAGATTAGTGACCGGCGATAAGGAACGAAAGCGGATGATTTTGCGTTCATTGCGTTATATAAATCTACATGTTATAAATCACAGTGAGTGATAAAACGATAATTTTCTGTTATAAATCAAATTATTCTCTAAGAGTCCGCAATTTGCGCTGCGTTTCTTGTGTAATTACTTTGTTTTGCGCTTACAAAACGCTAATATAGAGACATATTCATTATTCATTTTTGTTTTTAACAAATATAAAAGTACTTTTTTTTAGAAAACGGTTGATCCTACATAAACAGCTTAAATACTTTTCTGTGTAGAACATATTTAGCTGCATTTTGTGTTTCTCACAACGGTTACTGGTATAAATAGGAAAACGTGTTTGGGATGGTGGCCATTTTGTTTTTTTCCCATAGCACTCAAAGGTACCATTGCCAAGAGTGCCACCATTGAAATTATGTTTCTCCAATGGCAAACTAACAGAATGAGACTACTTCTACATTTCCATCTTCAAGGAGCACATGGAGCCTGTTTTTGTACATTTTAGGATGAGGATGGCGAAAAAAGAAAGCCTCGGATAATAGCCGCTACCTGAGGAACGTTAAGCCACGTTCTGAATACAGGGACCATATACATCACTCCCACTCATCTATAATACGCAAAGAGGTAGAGGACTTTCAGATATAAAACTATTGTACCAAACATAGGTATAATGATATTGCGTCATCTATCTAATACTACACTTTCGTTTTTTTTTTTGTATTCGGTAGCTTATGGCACCGACACTGAGGCTATACTAATTTATGTTAGGTAACTGATGTATCAAACATTTTTTTTCATGAATATAAGCATCATGGAACGTTCAAGTGACCGTAGTCTGATATAGGGTATAGATAAGACAGTCTTAAGTAGAAACGTTTATTAATAAATAAGGCTCTAATTCTAATAAAGTAGATCAATTGGTTATTCCCAATAAAAAGATGTACAGCGACAGCCTGAAGGTTCTGGTCCACATTGTGTGAGACTTCCCGATAGCGCAGACTTTCCACGACATGCATTCCAAATTCCACAAGATATGGTGCAGCCCAAACTGAATCCTCCCGCTTCTACGTTGCCAAGATGGGCGACGAGTAACATCATCACAACGAAAGTAGAAATCATAACAATACTCTGTCAAGCAAATTAGAAATTCAATCAAATTCTTCACAGAAGACTTAGAGCAATCGAGTGTCTTACCTTCATGTTGAACAAGTAGATATCGTGACTGCCAATGGTTAGGTACCTACTGATAGTAAGTGTTTTGGATCCGTTGCTCTTATACTCCAAAAAAGGGTGAGATAAATTGGGTGATTAAACTATAAATTTAAAAAGTACCAATTTCTATTTATAGGTTGTAAAAAAAGTACATCCCCGTTATCTCACTGCCAGCTGTAATTATCGAAATAAATTTCATAATTGTCAGCTGTGTGATACTGGTATTCCTATAATCAGGGGTTTTTAGGTTTACTTATTTGCATATTGCACGCGCACATTATGCTTTTTTTGGCCATTTGTACTGTCTCCATAATGAGAAAGGTCCGCTCCCAGCGTTACCCAAGCCACCACTCGCTTGAGAAAAGCGTTTGTAATCTTGGCCACGTTTGACCAAGATTACCCCAACGTGGATTCTGGACGAGTGCTTGTTATGCACCTCCTTTCAGGAGGGAGTTTCGGCGAAACTCATGCGGCGAGATTGTCCTGCGACGGCCTATTTTACATGCGGCAGTCTGACATCGAATCCCATTTAGCCTGGTGTTTCGGCTGCCCATTTTGAGTTATTCGATTAGTTACAATGGATACTGCAAGTAGGATAACCAATTCTGGCTCACAAAAAGAGTTTTGGGTCATGACGGCTAGTTCAGCTATGACCCGAGTTCAAGGGAGTTGCTGGATGATACTTACTTTAGTAAAGTAGGTCTGCTATCACTGGGTATTGTTATTGTTTTGTTCTCAACACTTTCACTGAGAACCTTACTACTAGCACTTAGCATTATTCCTATCAATTTCGTTTGAAATACGATTGAGAATTTGCCTAGTAGTTGGACAACTTGGAAGGCCAGTTCTTTTGAGCAGATGATCTTTGTGTGCTTTCTGCTACTTTCATCTGTGAAAATAGACAGACACATCAGCTTGGTATGTATCGTTCACACCGACATGAATACAGTAGTTCCTCTCTATAACGAATTGAGGAAGGACAGAGTCTGCTCTGCCTTCCAGTGTGGACTGCCACTCTTGACTGTCGCAAACTCTGAACTGGAATTCGAGAGTGACCTCGTGGAAGGTGGATTTTATCGCGCTCCTGCTTTATAGCCCACTTGATTGCAGATACCATCTTCAAAATGTCTCGATTTTCGTCGCCTACTCCGATATGCACCACGAATGTCTTATTTACTTATGAACAACTACGCCATAATTATATGCACCAGAAGCCTATTCAGAAGGTGCTGGGGTTGCCCAGGTCATTCGGATAGAGAATACACGTAAATAAATTTGGAGGGCGAGAGCAACATTTTTTCTAACACAACAAGGGCGCCAAATACTTAATTTGGAAATTACGTCTTTAAGTTTCTCCAATTTGTGTTGCGTTTCTGCTTCTTTCAGCAAGCATAACACAGAAAATGAAAATAACGTCTTCATTGAAACTTTTGGGTAAGGTTTTTGGCAGAATTTTTGCCCCCTTAAATGAGGACACGGAGAAAATTTGAACTAAACGAAGCCTTAAAACTAACGCTTCGGGGTTTAGTTCTTGAACATTTTACTACAATTCCTGGCGTGGTAAACACACCAGAGACGCCTACATACAAATACAAATTTTCAAGAAGTAATTTTAAATTCGTTATTTTCAATAACCTCCAGACATCAAATTTCCATCCCTTGTCGAGGTGATACCTCCTTAGCAGTCTATTTTACACTTTTGAACCAATGTTGCCCCAAAATCACCAATGTTTAGTGATGTTATTAACCTGCGGACGGATATGTTTTATAGTAGTCAGCCTGCCATATTTGGGTACGAACATATGGTTTTGTAAACTACATGGGGATGTCGTTCCTTTACGTTGGAAAAATGCCGAAGACGAGAACGAGCCACCTTGTAGTGCAGAAATACATTTTGCTAACGTAATTTCGGTCTGAATATCTGAAATAGCATTCATGACATGTTGTATGTAAGATGATTAAAGTTTTTCATAAGATCTGTTGAATTGTTTTTCAAATACACAGAATTGGAAAAATTTGTTGAATTGTCATTTTAGTGTTAGTTTTTTATTGTAAATTAAGTTTGTATGATAAATTTAAAACGGGCTACTAAGGGAACATTTAATCGAAATTTTTACGTCAGTTTAAAGCTTTATTTGGTTGTGATGATAAAAAATTGTTTATGGTATACAGTGTACGTTTGGGTTTCAATAAACGAATATTACAGTTGGCGACGAGGAACCGTGTTAGCAAAACAAAAAGGCCTTAGGGTACCCAAAACAGTGCGTGTGGTTTTTCGACCAACAATGTCACGTGCGAGATAAACGATGCGGATGTTTCATCAGTTTTGGCTACGTAGAGAAATTTCGAGAGTCGTCGGGTTAATCACCTCATTTTAGGATGGGGTAGGCAAACACATAATATAATTTGGTAGGTTTGTCTGTCTAACATCCAGAATTTTGTGAAGAGATTTCAAGAAATGTTGACACTAGATCTTCACAATGGAAGCCTAAATGTTTCTTTTCGGAACTACTAGTCCAAAGGTTCCAAAGTTTGCGTTTATTTTTTGTTGCTAAGAAATTTGGAAAGTAGGCAACTGCCAAAGAAAAAATTAAACTAAATCTCCGTTACTTACTCCATGTCTTTTGTATATTTATGCATTAGACCCTTTCTATTTATACCGTGTGTCCAAGGTTGAACACACCATAGGCCAACAGAATTATGTATCTTTTCGCGAATGATCGACGATGCCTTTGATGTGTACTTGAGGTTAGCGTTCAACGTACTATTGCTCTAGCTAGCCTGATGCTAGAAAGTAGTACCATAATATAACACATATACTATGGTAGTACGTTTGAACGCTAAAAGGCCTGCGCGAAAAAATGTTTTGCCGTTTCCCTATGGTGCGTTGTACCTGAGACACACTGTATAAACTAGGTTATGATAAGTAACCACAATTTATGGTCCCGCTTTAATAAAAATCAACGTTCCCATCATTAATAAATTATGCTGTAGGTAATTGAGCGCTTTTATATTTGTAGATTAATCTGTTCTGGATGTTAATTATTAAATAACTTTTCACAAAATTCTTTTCTTTTTTACATTCAGACAAAACCTTTTTTGACAATTTGTGCAAGATGTCCACAGTTCTGCCGCGGAGGCTGATTTTCTTAACAAGTACTCCAGTATGTCTTTACTTTTGTTTATAATACCTGAGGATTGAGTAAAAACTTAGATTACAAAATTTTTATTAAAATAAATAGTCTTAAATTACAAATAAATAACTGCTGCAAAAATGCTGGTGTTTATTACTCCCAATAAAAAGAAGTACAGCGACAGCCCGAAGGTTCTGGTCCACACTGCGTAAGACTTCCAGAAAAAGCGGACTTTCCACGGCAAGCGTTCCATATTCCACAGGATATGGTGCAGCCCAAACTAAACCCTCCCGCTTCCACGGTGCCAAGATGGGCGACAAGGACCATCATCATCACGAAAGTCGAAATAAGAACAATATTCTGTCAAATCAAAATTATATGGTAATTATAAAAAGTTTAGAACAATAATTGGGTGTTATCGTCTTACCTTCATGTTAATTGCTAAATGCTGATCGCTCCTTAAACGATTGTGAATAACTGATATTTAGTGTTCAGGATTTGATGCTTTTATATTAAACAAAGTGACGTAAATTGGATAATTTGCTACATACCACCAGTTTCTATTTATAAGATGTAAATAAGTACATCCCCGTTATCTTTCGTTCAGTAACGCTTATCGAATGACCTGTCAACTTTATTATTTTCACATATATACCTACACTATGCACATGTTCTAAAAGTGCACGGGGAATTATTTATTCTTACTCAGTATCGACTATTGACCCTAAAAGTGCCGAATGGATTTTTTAGTTACAGGACAGTTGTATAGTCAAGTTTAGGTTAATATCCGAATCAAGAACACACCTTATAGTAATATCTCTGTTCTCTGTATATTATATCAAGTTTGGTAGAGACCAGAACTTTTTTGGGAGTGCCATTAGCTGACCTACACAAAGAGTTTAAATCGCCGGTTTGGAACGGGTCGAGGGTCCCAAAAATGGATGGTTTTTTTTGCAAATATTAGTACCAGTACCAGTAACTATACGCAAATATATGGTGATGAATAAATTTGCCCCAATTAAATACAAAAACAACAAATAGGTACCTATATGGTCAAGTTAGTCAAACGCGTAGTATTAACCTATAAATAAATAAAAAAATTTTCTACTCTCATCTTCCATGAAGTAAGGACCCCATAAACCATTACCTGACATGCACATCAAATCCTTACACGATCACTATGCCCTACGACAAAATCAGGTCGTTCAAATCCAAGATAACGATTTGGAAATCCGCTCACAGGATGTTACATTCGTCCGAAAACCACCACATTTGAAAGGAATAGAGAGGCTGAAGTTGCACTACACGACTTTTGCTTGATTTTCTGTATTATTCAAGCGTTTTCCAATCTGTATTTTATTGGAAAAACCACCAATCCTCGACGTTTCACTGAAATCATTGTTCGAGATGTTCTGGGTTCTGCGAAGACTTCTTTTTAGGGATTCTAACACCTGTTGTAATAACCTTCCTTGGTTTGAGTTAGTTGTAACGCTGACTGGACGACCAGTACTGCAGCCTTTTGCGTTGAGGACAGAGGAACGCTTCCTGTGCGTCGAAACTTCGCAACGGCTCTTACCTGCATTTCTTTATTGCCTAGTCGGTGGCGCCTTATGAAACTTAAACCCTTTTTCCTAGCAATGTTGGTATACCTATAGTACTGATGCAGTTTTATTATTTTCAAGATTTGCATATCCTGGTGCAAATTTATAGAAAATAAGGATATACTTACAGCAAGATAAATTTAAACTACGAATCTGTACTGTAACCACTTATAATCTGACCACATCCATGTCGTGCTACCTAAGAGGATGTGCAATTTTGAATAAAACCATACAGTGGAAATTATTCTACTTCAGTTCGCTCACTGCAATTGTTTAAAGAAGAACGTCCATTTCTACAGCATCGAATATGAAGGTAGGCATACGAAATTGCAGTACACCCTCTAATAACGTTTTTGTTTTTCGTAGAGTATTATGATCACGGTTGTATTGTTGGCGGTGGTTATCTTAGCAATCAACCTTAATTCTGTTGAGGGTGGATTCAGCTTGGGTTGCACGCTGTCCTGTACGATATGGAATGGGTGTCGGGTGCGCGCTGCCATTAATGGTAATCTTAGCGGTTGTGGATCAGAACCTTCGGGTTGCCGCTGTACCCAATTTGCATGGGAGAAGTAACTTGAGTTAAGCTTTTATTGTGCCTGACGAAGACGAAGTTTTATTTTCTTTTGCTTTTGCTATGTCAAAATGCTGCAGTTTTATAGCAGTGTGTTAATAAAGTAGACAATAAAAGTGCAACATTATATGTTTTTTCAAAAATTCCCTTTCGTGCCCAATTTTGGTCATTTTATGGTCAATATCTACCAACGCCGAGAAAAGTACACCACTTTGCATAAGTGGAGGATTACATTTCAGTTACTTGCGCTAGCACGAACCACAAGTACCTACACACTAAAATGTATTTCCATTTATATTCAATGCCTTTGTTGCATGTACTCAATCTTTAAATATCTGGCGAGAAAGAATCCTATTGTAAAAGGTATTTTATGAAACACGTCAAGGTAAAAGTTACTGCCGGGCTATTATAAAATCGTTAATGGAAATGGAGTACCTACCTTGTTTGGCAAAATAGAGCAAATTTACATTGGAAGAAGAGAAGGAATTTGTAGCATTCAATTACTAACCTCGTCACCTCGAAAAAGAATAATCATACAGAGGGATCTAAATTACACTACTGTATTCATAAGAAGGTAGTAGATGGCGCTGTGTTTGAAGATAAACACACACAGGAAAAATATGAAACGGCACCAAATTATTGTAAAGTAGAAATATCCAGCACTGCATACAGAAATAAATCTTTGACATTAGAGTTAATGACACTTCAAGAGTTTAGATGGAAACAGAAACTACCAGCTTGCAAAATTCGCCACTCGTTTTATGTTTCAGTGTAATACTGACTCGTATTTTAACCAATCACACTGAAAGTCAAAGCTTCCCTATGCTTTCTACCGCTACCTTCTTAAAATGAATACAGTATATTGTTATTAACAAATCCACATCTTCCCTTTAATATTTACTAAAAAATCAAAAAAGCAAACAAAACCTTTGGAAGCACGGAAGATTGTACAACAATGGTTCCTGGTATTACTTTTCACATATTCTCTACAATTCGCTATCGAGTGGGTGTCATCTTCGTTACTGAAACTTCACATTTGACATTTTTTTAGGACAACCCGAGAACCCGAGAAGTAAGAGCTCTGTTTTTGTAGTTTAACCTTGCGCAATACAACTGCAGACCATCTATAGCTATACGCATTATGTTTCTAAGTAAGTATATACTTTAGTTGTACAATAACACAACTTTTCCGAAATTTGCTGAATGTGGGTTGAACGTACGAGGGGTGTCTTTTAAGTAAAGACGTTTGAAAATAAAAAGAAAGAACATTTTCATAAAACAAATTTATTTTCTTTTATTTTTCAACATACTTGCCAATTTTATTTAAACACTTCTTATACCTTGCAACTCGATTTTAAACAAAAAAACACACAGAAATTGGCCGTTTGCTCCGTTAACTAAGAGGTCCCGGCCAGACCGAGGGCCAAGCCCTGTGAAAGCTACGCAGAGCGATTAAAAACAAAAGCACCACATGGTGTAATGTAGACCGGAGAGCTTCAAATGGAGTCTTTTCACTGGGAAGTTTTGGACTACTCCCCCCTTCGGCGAAAACTTTGCACCTTTTTCGGTATCGTACACATCATCTCTATTTTTGCCATTATTTTGGGCGGGGTTTCAGCCAAGGCTGCTCTACCAACCCAACCCACTATACATTGACAAAAATCCATGCCCGAACCCGGATTCGAACCACAGGGACCTTTAGTACCGCGCCACACGGGCCGCCTTTGCTTAAATGCAATTTTTATTTGTGGTATCGTTTCTGACATATAGTCCAAGGTGTATAATATTTGTTAAGTCCGGAATCATATCACCTATTTTGAATTCAAATTTAATTTATGAATCCCGCATATCCTATCCCAATCCTGCACGAGGAGAGGGAGTGCCGGAAAGAGGGCAGTGCAGCGCGCGCGCTAGAGCAACAAAGTTGGTGCCAATAAATACTGGTTCTTTTGGGGAATTGGGGTAAGTGCAGGTCCTTTTACTACGCAAACAATATTTTTTTACAAAAAAAATTAGTTACCGGGCGAAACCGGGTTTTTCAGGCAGGTGAAATGAATAGAAATTGGGAAAAAATAATTAAAACAGCTGAATTTTTCCGCGGGTGAAATCACGGGGGTTGAAAGGGGTGGAAAGTGGTGTTTTGCAAATTGTGGCAAAACTATTAATTTTAGACGAAAATGTTCAATGTATAAGTTATAGAAATTAAAAAAATGAGCAACTTTTCTGTCTGCACTATTTTCACATAACCTCCAATTTTCCTAGAAAAACCAGAAAAACTGTTTTTCCTGTTTTTTATTCTTATTTTTGCGAAAAAAAGTTGTAGGGGTTTGAAATTTGAAGGAAACATAGCTTGTTTTATGATAAAAAAGAAGATAATTTTTTGGGCCCTTAAAGTCGAACCCCTGGTCCAACCGTTTCCAAGATCTCACGATTTCTGAAAAAAACCACCTCTTTTTCAAGGGGATGAAAAATTAATTTTTTTTCATCGTACAGAAGTGCGCGGGGTAGCAAAATTTTCGGGAAGACTTATATTTTAATAAAAAAATATTATTCCTATAGCAAAAATTCGAGAAAATCGCCAAAAACTGGTAAAACACTTTTAAGATATACACGGTTTTTGACATGATAAATCAACATGTTGGATGTTAATAAAGATTTTTTCGAAATTTATCTTCTTGCTTCTTTTTAATGTACGCTTAAATATTCTCTTTTGTTATCTTATGCTTAACTGTTTTAGTTAAAATATCTTTATTTTTTTTCCGCATTTTTACCGCAATAAAAGCAATTCGAAATTAAATCGGATTATCTTGCTTCCTGATTCCTGAACAATTTGTTTTTGTTCACTGACTCTTCTTCCTGCCTGTTTTATAGCTGATGCAACTGCGGTGGGCCTGTTCATAAACTTACTTACTTCGAATTGCTTTTATTGCGGTAAAAATGCACAGAAAAAAGAAATAATTAAGATGTTTTAATTAAGGCAGTTGGTCACTGGGAATCAAAAGAAAATATAGCAAAAATAAAAATAAAATAGCAACATTAATAAAGAGGCGAGAGAAAACATATTTCAAGAACTTTCTATTAGCGCGGATCCAATACGTTAATTTTATTTTCCATTGGAATAATATTTTTTATTTTTGATTATTAAAATGTAAATCGTTACGAAAATTTTGCTACCCCGCGCACCTCTTTCTCAAGGTAAGATGAAAAAAAATAGATTTTTCATCCCCTTGAAAAAGAGGTGATTTTTTTCAGAAATCGTGAGATCTTGGAAACGGTTCAACTCACGGTTCAACTTTACGGGCCCAAAAAATTATCTTCTTTTTTATATATGTTCCCTCCAAATTTCAAACCCCTATGACATTTTTTCGCAAAATTAATAAAAAACGAAAAAAACAGTTTTTCCGGTTTTTCTAGGAAAATTAGAAGCTATGTGAAAATAGTGCAGATACAAAATATATGCCCATTTTTTTAATCTCTATAACTTTTACATTGAACATTTTCATCTAAAATGAATAGTTTTGCCACAATTTGCAAAACACCACTTTCCACCCCATTCAACCCCCGGGATTTCATCCGCGGAAAAATTGAGCTGTTTTAATTATTTTTTCCCAATTTCTATTCATTTCACCTGCCTGAAAAACCCGGTTTCGCGCGGAAACTATTTTTTTTTTTAAATAAATTATTTTAGATCTGTTTATCCTGGACTAATATCTACAATTGTTTCTTGGAAGTTTTCTAAAATAAAGCAAACGAGGTCGACAAATTCGTACAAAAGATCAGCAATTTAAAGAAGAAAAACGTGGCTCTTCATAACAAATGGTCGAACTCAAAACCAGACTGAATTCAAGTAAGTTGGAGCTTTTCCATACCCAGTTGATCCGAGGAATCCGTCGAGTAGGAAAACCAGATTAGCGAGAGATTTTCAAGGACATTTCCCGTGGTCATACACATTTTGAATATACGATTAGGGGTGAGGAGGGACCCAGCTTTAGAGACACAGACCGTTATACGTTATTATTGTCAACAACGCCAATGTAGCATTAAAATAAAAAAAATTTCTCATGCCGCAACTGATTGCACAATCCTGTTCATAAAATTTGTTCACTTCGCGGCCCCTAAATTTCCCAATACCCAAAACGCAACTACTGTCTAATTAATTCCAACGCCTAGTTCCATAAAAAAAGTCCCGTCGGATTACGTTATACAGGGTGCCCATTATGTATGAAATATAGTATATATCTCGGTAAATATCGACTGTATACACCATTTTTCTATATGAAAGTTGTTTTAACATTTTATTTCCCATAACAAGACAGCATTTCATTGTTTTTATTTCAGAAAACAAATGAATAACGAAAAACAATTGAATTTTTTTAAATAGCAATGCACACTTTTATTAGGTTCATTTGATAGAGATTTTTTAGCGCATTTTTTAAGAATTAAAAAAAATATGCTATTGTTTGCGTTTTGTTCGTCCGTCCGTTCGTTCGTCCGTCCGTCCGTCCGTTCGTCCGTCCGTCCGTTCGTCCGTTCGTTCGTCCGTCCGGACCCATTTCTGCCGTTTCGAACTACTTCTAGGGGAATGGTCCTAGAGTCCTGGAATTTGTTACACTTCTAAATAGCATTATGCGGGTTACTCTGTAATTGGGCACATGCCTGTTGAGGGCCCAAAACAAGAGAGGGATAAAATTAAATTAAATTAATGTTGTTGCAGTAGGTAGCCTATATCTTGAAGGTGTGCCAGACGGCATCAAATTTCGCTGTCTAAAAGGGGGCTCCCCACGAATTATTTCTTGAGATGCTGTTTTTGAAAACGTGCATAACTTTTACATACAACAACCAATTGGTCTCAGATTTTGCATATGGATTCTCATGCGACTCTTTTTCGAGATCAGTGAGCGACGTGGTCTGAGAGGGGAAGGGGGTTAAAAATTAATTTTATCTCTCATTGGGGGAGGGGGGAACTTTAATTCGCAACTTTGTAGGTACTTGTTAATTAATAATTAAGTAGTAAGGATCTATAACTTTAACTGCAATTTTAAAATAGAAATAACGACTGTATACGCCTGTGTAACTTCGTAGATAGAAGTTATTTATGACACCCATTTATGAGACCCTCGTTTATTACTAATATGCGTAATGTGCATTTTCCAGATTTTTTTAACAAAGAAGAGTTAGTTTCTTACGATCTTAAACACATAAACCAATAATTTATGACATTGGGCATAAACAGAATTCGATTATGAGACTAAATCAATAAAGACGAAAAATTTAAGCGTGGCCAATCGCTTAATATGGGGAATGGTTAGTTTCAGTTTTAACTTGGAAAGAAAGCGTTCGGGAGGTAGTCAAAGACATTTGTAGAAATGTGCAAATTAAAAGAGCAACTTTCTTAGTAACAAAGACGTGGAATGTGAAATGTGATCAGGCATTTTCTTAATTATATTCAGAATTCATCCTAAGAATACTGCAAAGGTAATATCTTTTCATTTCTATTGAATAATTGAATTGAGCCCGCCCGCTTCACGCTAATTGCTTGGCGTTTCTCCTCGAACTTCCCGCTACTTTTCCTTTTTGAGTGACACCCGGCACGCTAATCGTTTCCGTCAATAATAACTAATTCATTGACGGTTATAAATCGACTAATAAATTTTTTTCTTCGAGAAATTCCCCTAAAAACACTAATGACATTCGGAATCAGTAGCAACTTCTACAATTCCGCGATGGATATATTCAAATCAAAACGAAATCCATTCCTACCTACCATTCTAAACACGTGTGTAATTGTCAGTTAGCTACTCTTTAGCCACCCGTCACCTACTGCTATCTTTCAGCAGATTTCTTTTGTGTACCCGTAAGAAGGAAGATTTTGACATTAAAAACCATAATGTATTAAAAAAATGTTTATTAATAGATAAATATAGCACAAATTTATAAATAAGTAATCAATTGAAAAATACTAGTTTAGCTTTACTCCCAATAAAAAGAAGTACAGCGACAGCCTGAAGGTTCTGGTCCACATTGCGTGAGACTTCCAGAAAGAGCGGACTTTCCACGGCAAGCGTTCCATATTCCACAGGATATGGTGCAGCCCAAACTGAATCCTCCCGCTTCCACGCTGCTCAAATGGGCAGTGAGAATCACCATCATCAAGAAAGCGGAAATTACGAGTACGTTCTGTAAAAAATAATGAGAGTTTATTTAATAAAATTAAGAGAAAAAAATGCAAACCTTCATATTGATTGAGGAGGGTATACAAACGTTGCGAATTTACGATTGACTGATACATAAAGTCTAGGTATCTTTGCTCTTATATCAAATGAAGCGATGTAAAATTGGGTAATTTGCTAAAGTTAAAAAACTACCGGATTCTGATTATGGGATGCAGTAAGTATGTGTGTCCCCGTTATCTTTAATTGAACTGCTCATCTTTATTTCACATTACTATATCGTTGATAGTACAAGGTGAATTTTTATCTCCCAAATTATATCGGAGGCGGTTATTGACATGATTATAACTGATGATGGGTTGTGTAACACATTTGAAGGTTAGCAGTTCGTGATGAATTGTATATTGGTATAACCCCAGGTCTCTTTAACGTTTATATATGACGTTAATTACTACGAATATGATTTTGGATTAGCCTTGATGTGACCGTTTACTCCGCAAATAGTCACCTCAATACAGTATAAATCTCTTTAAACTTTTTAATCCTTTAATTTCATTAATTAGTAATTAGTATTTGAAATCAAAAACATTTCCGCATCATACTTACACAGTGTGATACATTGAGAACCGCACAAAGCCATTTCAAATTTCAAACCCACGATGAATGCTGACTATCTATATCTTCAAAAAGAGACCTCGGAATAATAAAATATTTTCAGCTTGGTGGCACTATGGTTATACCGGAAGTTAATGCCAACTTGCTTATTTTAAATTAATAATCCCACATATTATACCATTTGTAGATTTTACGACATTCTATATACATTTCGTGCATGTTTTATACCTAAATTTAGTCCTTTTTGAGATATTTTAATTTTTATGTTAAACATGACGTTTGCAGCCCAAATAATTGCCAAGTTTTCGGAAAAGTTTCTCTTTAGTGGACTGTTGAATCGTTAAGCGTATAGGAGCGCAGATCCTTTAAAATACGAGAGGATAACGAAAATTAAGTATTTATTGAGATTTTTGTTATTGTAGCGAAAGGCGGACACCCTGTATATGAGAAACAATTGAATTTATTAAGTAAATCTGGGGAATTATTTACAAAATAAGCACAGAATTGTTCGGTTCATTTGAATTATGTATCTCAATGTGTTTTTTCCTTTTAGAAATTTTGTAATTTCATAATTTCTGTTGAAATTTGATAGCTTTTGTAAATAATAATAATAATAATAATAATAATAATAATAATAATAAGATGTTAGAAGTAAGACACAATTGGTCATCTGCGATAAGGAGTTTTGTCAGGCGAAAATTAATTAGTGCACGGGTTCTATCACTGTTAAGAGATAACGAAGATGTAGGTGTTTCCAAGATTGCGCGTTTCAAATTGGAGAGGTAGGGACGTTTGGCGGCTTCCGTTGCCATTGACGATTTATTTGAAATTTTTTAAAGGAGCATATTTGAAGGAAAAAGGGTGTACATTTCTTTACGCCAAAAATCGGGCAGTTCATAGGTTTATAATAAGTTTGTGCAGAAGCAAATAACGAAAGTGGTTTAAGAGCGTAACGTTTGTTGTCCGATTATGGAAATGTTTTGTCGATTTTAAAAAGTAAGCATTTGCAGTACACAGCGAGGCCTTTTTTTTAAGGTCTTATTAAAAGTTCCTGCCAGCGAGTGTTTATGTGCCAGTTTTAGTACGCCTAGTATCACAAACCCCACGACCATAAACGACCAAAGTATTTGGATTATTGAGAAAAAAGTGTAACTACTGATAAGATTTTTTAAGTTTTAATTGTCGCCCGACTGCGTGCGGAGTAATATGCCCAAACAAGTTTTGTAAGCATTTCTTTCATTCAGGGATTTGTTTTATTTTTGATGAGTTTCGGAATAAATTTTTGTCATTGTGAATCCATTAATTGCGTGTTTATTCGAATCCATTGTGCGACCCACATAGAGTTTTCATGTGAGATTTTTTTTTTCTGTTCGTGCCCAAGATTTATTTCACGTGTTTTATAGGTAATCATTTTTTTGGAATTTTCGGAAGTTGATCGAGGCTACCTAGTCTGTTGAAGTCAATATTAGGATTATTCTTCTAGCAGATACCGGATGTGTACGAGGAGAGAATATAACATTTAAGTTTCAATTTTGATTTGTTTGAGCTAGCTGGATAGATGTTTTGTGGGTGGTGTAGTGACCGAACATCATTGCACACAGCAGTATATTCATACTAAATTCAAAATATTTGAGCGGAATGTTAGGCTGGCAGCTATTCTTCATATTATCCAAACGCAAACAATCATCTTTCATATTCCAACCGAGGAATTTGTTATCATCAATGGTGCTCTGCTCGCGTAGGTCTGTGGCGTCTCCACTTCTCTCTGTTAGTAGATCTTCGTTTCAAAAGACATTATTCTATTACTGAAGTCAACATTAGGCTACACAGAAAAAGTAATATTGTAATAATCATATTATTTTTATCTGGAGCTTGAGAATTTGCTCCTCTTCAAGTGATGCACTATGCAGGTGGGTAGTGTGAAAATAAGTATCATGATTATCTGTATTTACTAAGCTAGCCACGTTCGCTTACTGGCGCTAACGCCACAGTGTTGTCAGTTCTCTTCTAAAGGCTAGTTTCCACCGGGTAGCACGTATTATTTAGGTGGTGGAAATGATTCAACTAGGAAAATCGATATTAAAGTGAAAAATATAGGCCGACTTGGCGACTCACCTGCGGGGATTTGATTAGACTAGCTGGTAATCAATTCAAAAACGCCCTTTACATTTTAGTATCAGTTTATCCGAGGAACAGTGCAAGTAAATTCGTTTTGTTTTCAAATATTGAACAAATTTGTGTTTCAAACGCAACACTAAACGCACCCAAAAATCAATAAGTAAACACAACTCTTCAAGAAGTGTTTTAATTGAACAGTGTTATAAAGAAATTCAACTGAGTTTTTTTTAAATCAAAGCTGTATTTCACATGTTGAATTTGATTCCGTAGTAAAAATACCATGCGCAGGGTGTTATCAATTTTGTTTTATTTTCTAGCCCCAGTTTACTGTTGCACTACAACCAGTGGGTTTTGGTCCACATTTTGTAACAGCCCCAGGAACAGTCGAGACTGCATGACATTCTTTCCATATTCCACAGTTCAGATCAAAGTTTCTTTTCGCTTCCACGATGCCAAAACTTGCAATTGCAATCACCATCATTACCAATGCAGCAACAATTATAACACGCTGTGTAAAGAATTAGTGTTTAACAATAAACAAAGGGCAAATGTGTACGAGTAATAACGACTTACCTTCATCTTGGTCAAGTAAACAAGGTTTAATAGCGGCGAGTGTCAAGGAACTAATAATTCGTTTGCTATTCCGCGCTTATATGTATATTGAGCAAAAAGGGGTCAAACAGATTATTTACTATCATATAAGTTTAAAAACATGATAAAAGAAATGGAATCCATTTATAGAATTTAAATAATAATACCCCCGTTATGTTGTTTCTTAACTGAAGTCTCTGCTTATTTTAGACAAATGCAATTGATAAGAAGTGTAAAATGTGGTGACGTTGTGAGATGGGTATACTGAAACTTGAAAGCTTATGAGATTTGCTTATTGGTTTCTACAAGAGAAATCATATACATAAGTTTTTGTCTTACGTATGAGAGAAACGTTACGGTAACGGAAGAATGGATTGGGATTATTTAGTACATGATTGACCCGAATCCGCTGCAAACATCTGGTTATAGTATAAGCAATCAGATTCCTAAGGTGTTCATCGTAATGTGGTAATCACATTGCTCATATTAACACTGAAAATTTACTGGGTTCATAAACACACGTGACAAACTTTTTAAAAACACAGAACCAAAATTTAAGGCTAAATTCTGGTCTCAACTGACAGCTGCGGTAAACTTTTTACTACCTAAATCAACACAAATTTCTCTGAGTACTCTATCGTGGAATGATAAAATTAAAATACAAAGTAAAATACAAAATAGAAAAACAAAAGGAAGTAATGAATCCTTTCAACTAAATTGAATATAATTAGCTGCTCATATATTTGGGAAACTTCAATGCTAATTCCAAATAATTGACGTTAGCCGGGCGCATAATTTTGCGCGGCTTAATTTTACCTAATAATAATTAGAGTTGGTCCGGAACATAATTTCGCAAAGACCGAGGCAAAGATTATATGTTAGATTAAACAAAGTAATAACATGGGTGCAAGACATAATTGCGGCAGCTTAAATTTTAATTAAGTCAATGTGTCAATTCAATTAACTATTTGTAAATGAAAAGGAATTACCTTGAAGTATTTTTGTAGTAAATTTGAACTTAATATCATACGAAGGCCTGGCAATCTTGAAGTTTTATGCAATATTTAATTTTTCCTCGACATCTATAGGTACTTTTTGAAAAAGTCACTGAAATTTACCCAGGAATCGAAATATATAATAATAAACAGGGGATTCCATTAAAAAAATGCAATTTTGATATAAACCACCCTGTATAAGAATTGCAATTGAAAATGTTTTTAAGTTGTAGCCTTAAGAATCCCTCAACATGCTCCGACAATGAATTTTAAATATGTGCTGACCCAAATAAACCCACGATCATCCACTAATGCACATGCCTGTTGAGGGCCCAGGACAAGAGAGGGATAATAATAAATAAATAAATAAATAATCGCCCACCCTGTATTCCCTTTTTCTTCTCAACAAATTACATTAATATGCTATTTTTTCTATTTCTTCTTTTTGGCACTTCTGTACTCCTTCCTTACTGTAGTCTTCAAATGTCTCTGAAAAAGGCCGGTTAGGTGTGGGCGTTCCCTTTACTTTTGGAATTTTTAGTGAGTATGTGGATTTTACTATCCAACTCTTTCTATACTCAATGCTTTTTCATTTTATAGATTTATAGTTAAATTGCTAAGAAATTTTGTTTAAATTTGCAAGTCTGCTGCATGCAATTCCGCGGCTACCCGTTGCTATTTTGCATATAGGAAAAGAAATTATTCACAAACATAAATTCTATTGAATGTTTATTAAAATAAATAAGGGCACTTAAAATACTAATTTCTGTTTACTCCCAATAAAACGAATTACACCGACAGCCTGAAGGTTCTGGTCCACATTGTGTGAGACTTCCAGAAAGAGCGGATTTGCCACGGCAAGCGTTCCATATTCCACAGGATATGGTGCAGCCCAAACTAAACCCACCCGCTTCCACGGTGCCAAGATGGGCAATGAGGACCATCATCATCACGACAGCAGAAATCATAATTATATTCTGTGAAAATAATTGAGTTACAAAAGTTAAGCGTGCAGTTTGGCTCGTTACAAACCTTCATGTTGATTGAAATTTGGCGATCGTTGTATAAACGTTTGCAAATGGTAACTGATAAATAATGTTTGGGATTCAATGCTTTTATATCCAGCAAAATGATGAAATTCGATAATTTTCTAAATTGTAAATTTAAAATAACCTACCAGCTTTTATTTTTATAGGATGTAATAAATAAGTAGGTACTTCCCCGTTATTTTTCTTGCGCACCAATCGTAAGATGATCGAAGTCGCCTTTTATCTTAAATTTCCCAAACATACGGCAGCGTTTATAGTATCTGTATAGTAGAAGGGGACTTTGTTACTCCCAAATTTTATCGGTTATTGACTGATTATGTTATGACACATTCATTCAGTAGTCAGATTTAAAAAAAAACAAAACGTTAACGGTGAAAGTACATAATTGAATGAAATTAACAGGGTATTGAATTAAAAAAAATTATTCCGGGGCTGTTCAAAAACTTTTCCTTCCCTCAATTATTCACATTGACCGGTTATTATGAATAATCGCCACATTAATTACTTTGATCGTAAGGCTGTGTATACATTATCCGAACCGAACGTGTAATGTAACACGTAATGTAACAAATTCGTGTAGTTAGGACGGTGCCCCGAGCACGAAACGAGCAGGTTCGCAACCTGCTCGCCCGCTCCACCAAAAGTCGGTTTTTCTGCCTGGTATCTGCATGGGGTAAAATTCATCCCCAAGTAAAACTAGTTATTTGCGTGTTGCAAAAATTTTTGTAGATAGAAGTTAGGAGACTTAAAAAGAGAATGAAGGAAAAGGGAACCTTTCGTCGCGTCAACGGTTAGCAACTAACAAGTAGGAAAAGAGTATATCATGCTCGCCAGGTCACAGAACACCTGATGCCGATGTACGTCCAGTCATCCTATGCCAAAAAAAGGCAAATAGAAAAAAGGTGTGGTTGAAGGTCCGATGATCATTGTGTAATAAAGTCCCGAGCGATTTCGGGGCAGCTGGGGGGAGGCGAGGGAGTTGAAGGTACAGTTTTGCGGTTTTTCGGCTATATTTTGAAAATGGTGGGTTGTAGGACAAATTTTCTTATCAAAATCCAAAGCTGATACAATTTTCTACAACTTTGCTTCAATACTTTTTTTTCCAAAAAAGCCTCGTTTTCCAGCTACGAGCTCTTGAATGTGAGCAATTTTAAAAAAACTCACGTTTTCGGTCCTTCAAGAATCAATGACATGTGTAGGGTTTATGACGGGTGGTGTGGGCTATAGAGCAGTAGTTGCAGTAATGATACTTGATTTGATATACGACATGGGACTGAAGGGATGTAGTGATTTTTTTCTTGAGGTTTGAGAATAGATTTCTGGTGGAATTGTAGGTGGTGGAGATAATTTCACAGTTTACGGTTATTCTAAATTTGTTGGGTGAGTCAATTTACGTTTTTAGGTATTTCTTAGGGTATAGCACCTCCTTGTTCGATCTCTAACAAGTAAAATTTTATTAAAGCATTAAAGCCGTTATTTTGGTATAATGAATGCAGATTCTTCGTGCGCAACTGCGGCTCTGCGATCCTATTCATGCATGTCTTGAAGTCTAGGATGACATTTTTGTTTTGATGTAAGGGATGACTGAAATGATAATTCACATATCGAATCCAGGCCAGTTTAATGATATGTGATAAATCAAATGTCCAGACTCCAGAACGGCAATGTAATTTTCCACATCTATAGTAGTTCAAGTGGAGATGATTGCGGTTTAAATCGATGAAAAGGGTCGTCATAGTTGTAGATAGATTTTTGTGCATACCAAGCAATACGTCGTTGATGTGTTTATGGGTGAAACACAATCCTTTGACTCAATCCAAGAGTTCTAGACCATTGCAGATAATCCAAGGAAAGGTATAGTCACCTAGAACGCTTTCTTTCATTCATTATTTTTGTTTTTCGCTTATAAATCAAAAACCATTAGCCCTACAAAAATACTCCTTCCTAGTATTCTTCTGAAAATGACAAATATTTTCGGGTCCCAGGAACATCTTTTCACAATACAAATTTCATCATCTAAGTGTTCATTATAATTGACCTGCTATCTTTATTTAGAAATTTCCATTATTAATTGTATTGCCACCATTGCTCTTTGGCATGGTTAAACCGTCCTGTTTCGACATTACAAAGGTGGGAGATATGAGCCATCTTCATCATCACTGAAGCAGATATCATGATTGTCAAACCAATAACGTTGTCTAACTAATACCTTCATCTCAGAGATTGTATGCTACGCGTGAATGATGACTCTCTATTTAATTATAGGTTGAGAATAAGTAAATCCCCATTATCTGTTACTATAATTGAATTAAGATAAATCAATCTCCTTTTATCTTGTATGAGTTTTTGTTATTTATATTTTGTTATTTATAACTTAAACAGCAAAGATAAAGGGGATATACTTTTTTACACTATCCAATCACGCCTACCACTTATAGTAACAAGGGCACACAGTTTAATATAAAAGGATTAAATCACGAACATTGAATATCAGTTTACTGTTTACCCACGAGATCTGCACCTCTATCCTCTACACCAAATATGAAGGTAAGATAATTAGTTACTTGCTAACAAGATCGCATAATTTTTTATTTCCTAGAACATTGTTGTGATTTCTGCATTGGTGATGGCCATGGTCCTCATCGCCCACTTTAACAACGTAGAGGCAGGAGGATTCAGTTTAGGTTGCACCATATCTTGTGGAATCTGGAACGCATGCCGTGGCAAGTCCGCTTTTTCCGGTAGTCTTACACAATGTGGACCTGAGCCCTCAGGTTGCCGCTGTACATCATTCGCTTGGGAATAGCTAAAGAATGACTAGAGTTTTATATTTATTGTTGGATTAGTAAATTATTTTTGTAAAATAAAGAAAATATTTTAAAAATTATCTATTCTGTTATACTTACCTACTTCTCGGTCAGCAGTAACAAAAAAAGATGTTATAGTTATACACTTCAAGAGTACTTCCAGCATCGAACGCGGTGTACTTGTATGATGTTTAAATTTAATAGTTTGCTATCCGAATTGTCAAGTGTTTTGACAAAGAATTATTTTACACTGTACACTTACAAACATGTATCCACTGACTCGGATCCGAACCGGAGGCCTTCCGTGTTGTAGTAATCGCCTCCACTTCTTTAAGCGAGCGTGAAAAGCAGTTACGAATTTTAAATGAAGGTGTCATACAGTCAAGCCAAGTAAACAAGTCCGTCAAGAAGGCGATGGTTTGGTGTCGCTGTATTTTAGAAGTACAGTCTGTGTCAATAGTGTTTGGCGGGAAACTTGTTCTATTTTGGCATTTTTTTTAATGCAGCTACGTTTGAAAACTGGAGAAAGAAATTTAGTACAATAATTACAACCCAAAATAACAAAATTTACCTAAGTACTACCTTAGTGTAATTCTATTCTTTACACTATGGTACTACTAATGACAAAGCAGTGTGTATTTAAAACTAATTAAACAGTATCATCCGTCACTTTCCTCTTCACTGATTTTAGAACCTTCGCCTGACGTGCCAGTGATTACCGTGAAAGATAAACTTTTTACAGCTTCATCTAACAATCCATGGCGTTGCCACATTTATTCTTCCAATCTCTTAATGTGGATTATGTCGTATCCAGACTTATACTTTTCGAATTGATGATGAGATGCGCATTTTCAATTCATTTCAATTGATTTCATCCTGCTTCAGTCAGTTTTATATACACCAGGTTCATCTTTTGTTAGCAAGCATTCCATAAAATGGATGGATATAGGTTTCGTCAAAAAATGTGATCTTTACTTTCAATGCGGCCAATCTTCTTCTTCATTTTAGTAACTAAATTATTGATTGTAGAGACTTTGTTATGGATCATGTAAATTTCATTCTTCAAGACGCGTAAATCAGAATTATCCAATGTTATTTTGTAGGAAGTTGCACTTCCTTGCTTCTTTGATGGAAATTTCCATGTCCTATATCATCGGCAAGTTTGACTTCGATCTACAGGATAACAATACGTATTTATTTCAGACGAATATTAATGAAATGCACATTACCTAATCTGGGTTATGAATTTTGTTGGTTTGCCGGGAGCAGAGCTGTCGCAGCAGCAGCTAGCTCTGCTCCCTTTCCCAAAGGAAATATCTACACACCGGCAGCTTTCTCTTTTCCAAAGAATTCCACGACCCTTTTAATAACATTTCTGGCTTCGGAATGCACAATTGCAGAGGTTTGCTTCTCTTTTCTTGCCGTACGGATAAAATTGGTGCAACAAGCGCATTTTATAAACATTTAATATATAAATGTGTCACTGTCACATTTTTTATGGACTGTACACGCCTGCGTTGTTGGTATTGGCTTAACGTTTTCCCGCCACGAAATTTCTAAATTAGTTCGCATATTTTCCGAGGGACTTGTTTGCTTGGTGGAGCTGTATGTTAGGAGATGTGCTTTCGTCCAAACCAATGCTTTTCATTCAGCCATTTCAATGTCAGCCTTTGGATCAATTTAATTCGATTTATTCAAGAATAAGGTAAAACGCAATATAAACACCGTCTCAGTCTCTTGTTCTATGATGCTAATTTGGCGGCACTTCTGATGGCTTCTTTAATAGATGAATTCAGATGTGGGAGTGCTACAGTGTCCACGGAGGTCGACTCCCAGACTACGGTTCTTCCTTTCTTCTAAGGTATTGCCATCCTCGTAAAAAATCCCGGGGATTCCAGAGTAGAAGATAAGCCGACATTAAATTGTGAAGGGCAAAGTGTCGGCGGTGTCATCCTGCGCTTTTTGAGCTTAAGATAGAACACGATTACTCGAAGAGTCTACTTCAAGTTAGACGTGTAGGGTTTAGATAGATCATTTCCAAAATAAGTCACGTCACCAAATGACGACTCAGGTTATTTGAGTTCCCGAAACCCCATCTAATTCAGCAGGGCGCGCTCAATCGAATTGGGAAACGTAAACTATGGCAATCCCCCCCATTTTATACTGAAGGCTAACAAATTAGCTCCGTACTTTGGTGCCGGAAGTACTCCTGAAGTGTATGTATAACATCTTTTTTTGTTACTGCTGACCGAGAAGTAGGTACTAATTTCGAAGGTATATTTTTTATTTTGCAAAAATAATTTACTTATCTATAACAATAAATATAAAATTGTAGTCATTCTTTTGCTATTCCCAAGCGAATGATGTACAGCGGCAACCTGAGGGCTCGGGTCCACATTGTGTAAGACTACCGGAAAGAGCGGACTTGCCACGGCATGCGTTCCAGATTCCACAAGATATGGTGCAACCTAAACTGAATCCTCCCGCCTCTACGTTGTTAAAGTGGGCGATGAGGACCATGGCCATTACCAACGCAGAAATCACAACAATGTTCTATGAAAAAAGTAATTATGCTACCTATCTTGTTAGTAATAATGAATTATAACTTACCTTCATATTTGGTATAGAAGACTGGCGTACTTAGCAGATATGCAGACCGTTGTGGATGAACAGTAACTGATATTCATTGCTCGTGATTTTATCCTTTTATATTAAACTGTGTGACTTCGTTACTAAGATAATTTGGTGGATAATGTAAGTCCCGAGGTAAGTCCCCTTTATCGTTGGCTCTCAGCATTGCATAATAGTAACATGTTGCCTGAACTCGTAAAGCTTTATTAAATAAAAAGATATAATCGGCAGGTCGAAAAACCCAAACAAGATAAATAAAAAAGTTTGTCATCTTAATCGAATTATAGTAAAAGATAATGGGGATTCACTTACTCCCAATAATTCATTCCATTCACGTATGACCATTCCATAAACGCTACCAATCTCAAAGATAAAATTATTAGTACTTTCGTTCGATTAAAGAACGATAATACTTCTATTGTTTATAGACATGAAGGGAAGTATTTGATTGCAATACTACTTTTGGCAGAAAGTTACCTCCCAACAAATTTGTTCGAAACCCGTTTTTACGAATATACTATTTAAGGGCATGCTGGTTTTTTAACATCATAGAACCTCTTAGTAAAAAAATTGCCTACCGAAAGCAATAGATGGGTTTCAAAACCCTATGGTCGATTCTTAATGTCCAGAGGTTTACTTCCTTAATTATTTTCAATTGTTCAAGAATACACTCTCAACAAAAATCAGTTTCCCTTCCAGGCTTCCAGTGGTGTTGAATTGTGGTAAACGGAAATGTAAATAATCCACACCTGGTGTGCCATTTCTCCAAAAAGCTAATAATTAATTAGTTTATGTCATACTTGATCATTATTCAGTTATAATAATCCTAAATCAAGATACATTAAATGACAAATAAGGCACTCCACCATGACAACCCCAATTATGCGTAGCAACGGGCGTTATTTTTATAACGCCCAAGGGCGTTATTTCTGTAAATCCTATAAATATGGAATAATGAATCTGTACGAACTTTTGTATTTTCACCTAAATAAAAAGAACTGTGTTGATGTCGCATTATCCTACTACTATTCTTTGAAGTAAAAAGAACAATTCTGGAACTGTCCAGAAAACACCGCACCAGCTTGGCCCAGACCCATAAATTTTCTCTCCTCAACCGATTCGTTTCTTTTGGGTGACGTATCTTTTTCCATGATCGACATTGCTTTCGTTTCAGTATAGGTGCTTGTATGCACGCCAGCTACGAGACAAGCATTGTTCTGCTTCAAGCGATGACTGTCATCTATATAATCCTTTGCCACTGATTGGCTCTGCCACCCTCCCAATTTCATCAAGTTGGTCATACTACCTCCAGCATCAGAATGGAGAGTGGCACTTGTACGTCGTAGGCAATGTCCTGTAAAACCTTTAGCTTCGGGCAACCCCAAATATGTTGCAATTTTGCAAGGAATGCTTCCAAGTGTGTTTTTGCCCACAGGCTGAGACGTGCAAAGATTTCCCCGCAGGCTTAGGAAGAATCTTTCATCAGACACACCTTCAGGTCGGAGAGATATGTAATTCCGTATTAACTGCAATGCTTTCATTTCAGATTCCTCAATAATAATGAAACTTCGTCCCTTATCAGTTTTAGCACAGATCTACACATACACAGATTGCTAACCTTATACATTTTTTGGGAATAGTAGATTACATACCGAGCTGGGAGGTGGTTCATTACCTACCCCGAGGGCTTAAGGCTTATAAGCGCGAGGCGTTGGTTATGAACCACTGACCAGCGAGGTTTGTATACTATTTTACTCACAATCGATCATTTAAGGTAAAGTATATAATTCAACAAGGTGTTACTTTAACTGTCAATAATAGTGACACCGCCAATGTAACCATTAATGTTTACAACAATAGCAAATAGTTTCGTTCTTCTTCGTAATTTGCTATTGTTGTAAACATTAATGGTTACATTGGCGTGTCACTATTAGTATAAGTTTCATATAAGGATAATATGAATAGCATTTGCAGGTAAGGAAAGTGACAGATGCTAGCCGGGAAAGTGACAGCTAGCCGGGAAAGTTACTTTCCCGGCTAAGGTGAGTAATGAGTCGCTTCGCAACCGCTATGAAGGTTAGGAATTCAGATAATACTAACCGATTGTGAGTAAACAAATTTAGGTATACTTAAAAGCGCCCTCTATTGCGGAGCAGTATAATCATGTACCGTTTAAAACTGTAATATGACGCTTATGGATTTACGCATTAGATGTCGCTGCAAAAAATTTAAAGCGGTAAAGTGTGCATATAATCCAGTTTAATTGTATTTTTACCAGGAAAGTTGTGGGGTAGTTTTGATTTCTTTGATTCTATATGTTTTTTGGGGTGCTGAATCCGAATCTGAGGTTTGCTAACAAAATTTCATGACGCAACATTGAAAAAAATACAAAAAAAGTTGAATAAGATATTTTTTTAGCAGTTTTGTGCTTACAACTCGAAAACTATCAACTTTTCGAAAATAACCTCCCTATCTTATATCTTATCGGCGTGGTAAAGAGTGTAACGTTAATGATGGCAGAGATATACATAGTTTGTAAGTATGCCTTTGCGGTTAGCAATTTGTCAAGACCTTTAAAGCCGCAAATAGTGTCCGCCAACTTCAAAAAACCTTCACGATTCTTTAAGAACCTGCCCTATGTTCGTGTGTATCTGTGACCACAGGGACCCGCTTTTAATAACTTCCTTACGACGAATGAGTAGCTTCAGTGTTAAATTAAAACAATTATGGCTCAACGTACCTCCTATCATATCATACCACTGTAATAATACGAATATTAAGGAATTCGAATTGTGCAAACTTTAGCGCTTTAATTTTGTTTCAGCGACATCTAACGCATAAATCCATAAGCGTCATATTACAGTTTTAAACGATACATGTTTATACTGCTCCGCAATAGAGGGCGCTTTTAAGTATACCTAAATTTGTTTCCCAAAAAATGCATAAGGTTAGCAATCTGTGTATGTGTAGATCTGTGGTTTTAGTAATAGGAATGTCAACAATTATGTGCGTTCCCACATCTCGTACATCTGTAAACTTCATTTTCAAAAGCTCATCTCTTCTGCATGCGCCAAATATCCCCATTAATAATGCAGCCTGTAAATACACGAAGTCTATACCTATATGCAAATCTTATAAAAATAATACACCATACTTTGTACATCAGATACTGCGGATCGGGTGCTATGGCTTCATTCGCTTTTGCGGCTCGCGCAAGAACGTGTGCAGGTAAATGAGACGCGTCGTCTGCCATTTTTCAGAAAGTTTTTAGTATGTTTGACAAATATAATATCTATCTCCATAGTTACGACCATGGATAACTTAATTTTGATGATTCTCATTATCTTCTCTTTCTACCATCTGTCACCGCTAATTCTTGGAAAATCATCAAGTATGACATAAAACGTTGAAGGCACCACGGGCGTTATGAACACAACGCCCACGGTCAACGCTCCCGTCCGAAGGTAAAACCTAGTAAGTCAATTTTTGCTTAAAATTAGACTTTGAGACGATCTGAAAGTACTACTTTTTTCCTTTGTAGAGGTATAAACTTTGTAGATCACTTCCAACTAATAAGCATTCTACATTCAATGGAATTTTCTAGTAAGTGTCATAATCTATATCTTTTCAAAGCAAGAATATAGTAAATCCGATTTGCAGTGGAAGAACCTATCATTTCACTTAAACTATGGCATTTACTGAATAAACAACCTCACCTCCAAATGGAAAAACACAGCATTCATTCTTACTACTTATTTCAATAGCGTTTAATTAAATTGAAGTTATTTTGATTTCTGCCGTTCAATGGAAGAACCTAGCAAAGCAATCTACCGATGGTCTTGCTTCCCGCCAAAAAGTGTAAGAACATAGTAAAGTCATATATTTACCAGAAATTAAAACCACCAGTAAGCATGATACCATTGGAAATAGCTAGCAAAGTACCTTACTAAATTTTTCATGGCTTATAGTGCAACATTTTCAATATTAATAAAACCGTAACTTGACATACTACATATTGGTGTAGTAAAAGCATCATAATTCCTGTTAAAAAACATCGTATGTTCAATATTTTGCAAAATACTAAATATATTATAAAAACAATATAATAATCACAAACATAGCGACCTAAAACACCATAATGCCCATACTACAATTGTCAACTTTAATTGTCAACGTTATGTCAATACATTGTACTATTAATTGCTCTCTTGAAAAGTTCATAAAAATGAGTTACTGGGTTTTACCTTTTTACGGGAGAACGTATAACCCTCGGGCCGGAGGCCCTCGGGTTCTACACTGTTGACCTGGGGCGTTATTTAGTTCATAACGCCCTTGATACCTTAATAACTATAAGAAATTTTGAATCTTCCTTGCTAATGTTTTGTATGGTTTAGAATGATTTTATCTGTATTGTTTCATATTGAATCTACGTGCTATTTCGCTCCATAAATCCAATAATTCCAGCTATCTGTAACGATCCAGTCACTTTTTTTATCGTCACGTTTTATTAACGATCCTCGAGATTATATATAGTTTTGTATTGCTGTCTATCTGTCCGCCTGTCTGTGTGTCTGCCCGTGTGCACGATAACTTTGTGTAGAAACGTCCGATCAGTTTGAAAATTGATACACATGTTCTTCAGGAGATAAGAAAGGTCGCTATTGTTTTTTGGCTACGTAGACCAACGGGCCAACAAGTTACAGCCCAAACACTGCCTAAACCTCCAAAAAGGGTACAATTCTTGTTACAAAGAACATAATGAATGTCCGGTTTTCTGTGTTAGTGGTGACTATTCAGATGAATAAAACAAAATTGCGCATGCGCACCCCAACTTTTGTATTTGTGCAATCCCAATTTTGTTATCTGTTAAGATATTTAAATGCAATTTGGTATGTAGGCATCTCAAATAAAAGTAAAACTAATACCAATTCAAAAAATTTGTTTTACAAGCTACGCTGATCTGGTGGGATACAATCAACCCCTTAAGGGGTATTGTAACAATGATGTATGCGTGAAGATCTCGAGGATCGTTCGGTATTCAGTTGTATCGGATTTTTTCGGTTGTAACTTTATTATTATTATGTACTCTTCTATAGATATAGTCAGCAAAGTTCGCACTTTTTCTGAATCTAAATTTCTTTACGAAATTCTATATTCTTTCAAAAGTTTAGCGCCCTCCCTTATTAAACTTTGCATTGTTTTGAGTATCGATCCGATACCCTCTTGGAAATTTAGAACCCTCCTTTGTTAAAAATTACATTAATTAAGGAGAGACAACCGATTTTTAACAGATTGTCGAGGAGTCCAGTCTGGGGGGATAGCTGCTCTAAGTACCCTAAAGTAAATATATTTAAGCACTTGTCCACCGACCATTTAACATCTTCGCTTTTGAACGTCGCCAATTGCATACTTTTTGGATTTCATGTACAACATTCCACACCTTTCCTTTTTGACCGTTGATGCGAACAGGAAACTTCCACCGAGCTCTAAGCCCTAATGTTTTTGAGTGTGTAAAACCAGCCACGTAAGTTATATTAAAAGTAGAACACAACTCCATTCATCTCTTCAGTTTATTACAAAATATTCTCAAGAATCACAGTATTTTGGCGAAAAAAATAAATAAAACATTCAATAATAAATTATTAGGGCAACTGGTTCAAAAACTGGAACTTATTCCCAGTAAAACGATGTACAGCGACATCCCGAAGGCTCGGGTCCACACTGCTCCAGACTTCCGGAAAGGGCAGATTTTCCTCGACACGCATTCCATATTCCGCACGAAATTGTGCATCCTAAACTGAACCCTCCTGCTTCGACGTTACCAAGGTGGACGATAAGAACCATCGTCATCACCAAAGCGGATACCATAATAATATTCTGCAAGGGAAGCAAAGTTAGTGTGAAAATATATTGCAATTAAAGACTTACCTTCATGTCTTTAAACTTGGTCTCCTTCTTCAAGTGAGTGAAAGTATTTGAACTATAATAACGTAGTCTCTGGGACTAGATGCTTTTATATTGAACGGTCGCGTGGAGAATGGAGATTATTTGCAATTTAATTATAGATTGAGAATAAGTAAATCCCCAGTATCTCTTACTATAATTGGATTAAGATAAATGAATCTCCTTTTATTTTGTATGGGTTTCGTTATTTCGGTACAGACCACGTATTTTGTAACATGAAAGGCACAGATAAAGGGGATGTACCTTTTCACATTATCCAATCACGCCTAACACTTATAATATCAACGTCACACAGTTTGATATAAAAGGATTAAATCACGGACACTGAATATCAGTTTACTGTTTACTCTCAAAGTCTGCACATCTGTTACGAACATCAATCCTCTACACCAAATATGAAGGTAAGATAACCCGTTAGTTACTTACTAACAAGATCGCATAATTGTTTATTTCGTAGAACATTGTTGTGATATCTGCATTGGTGATGGCCATGATCCTCATCGCCCACTTTAACAACGTAGAGGCGGGAGGATTCAGTTTAGGTTGCACCATATCTTGTGGAATCTGGAACGCATGCCGTGGCAAGTCCGCTTTTTCCGGTAGTCTTACACAATGTGGACCTGAGCCCTCAGGTTGCCGCTGTACATCATTCGCTTGGGAATAGCTAAAGAATTACTAGAGTTTTATATTTATTGTTGGATTAGTAAATTATTTTTGTAAAATAAAAAAAATATTTTAAAAATTATCTATTCTGTTATACTTACCTACTTCTCGGTGAGCAATAACAAAAAAAGATGTTATAGTTATACAATTCAAGAGTACTTCCAGCATCGAACGCGGTGTACTTGTATGTATTGTATAATTTAATAGTTTGCTATCCGAATTGTCAAGTGTTTTGACAACGAATTATTTTACGTCAGCCTTTGGATCAATTTAATTCGATTTATTTAAGAATAAGGTAAACGGCAATATAAACACCGTCTCAGTCTCTTGCTCTATGATGCTATTTTGGCGGCACTTCTGATGGCTTCTTTAATTACCCATCCATACATTCCCGTTCTCTGGCCGAAAAGGATCAAGAAACCCTGAGCCAGCCCGCCTCCGGTATCCCTCGGGGTTTCGAAGGAATGAAACACGTTGGCTTTTTCCTTTTTTCCTAATCTGTCAGTCTGCTTTTAATCCTGATGCAAGAATGTCAAGGTTAAAAGGAATAAAGTTGGTATACATCCCCTTAATCGTTAAAAAATGATAGTGACCGCTTTTTTCAGTACCTATGTAATTTATTTCGATTATCCTTTATAGAGGTTTTCTCAAACACTGTGTTTATAAGAGCTTCTTTATCCAAAACTCGTGCGAGAGTCGGCAGAAAATAGTTATTTGTTTCATTAGTACAAAAAATGTCAGTTTTCGGGACGAGGAAGATAGTTGCTGGACGACGCGTTAGCGGAGTCCAGCAACCTTCCGAGTCCCGAAACCGCATTTTTTGTACGAATAAAACATAAAATTTTTTCTCCAACCCCCTTTACTTCAAATTATATTCGAATTTAGATTCAGTCACAGTTTCACTACTAGTATAAGAACTTCTGCTTTCTTGTCCTCAAGTGTCATGCCACTCTAGTTTTTAGGTTAACTTATAACCTATTCGTTCTTACTTCTTACTTCTCACCTCTCGCGACTTTGTAGGGAGCAAATCTTGAGGTAGCATGTTCTGCCGTTTCTATAATCTCTGGCGGAGTGCAATCCATGTCGCTATCAGTTTCAGTCATTTTATTGTATACACAATTTTATTAATATTGTTATATTTTGTATTGAAATAAAAAACTTACCATACAGTTTTTTAATTAAAATTAATTGCAATTAACTTTTTCAAATTTTGAATTCAAAATGACAGATAATAGTGCAATGGGTCTGAAGTAGATGGCGTTACGCGCGACGGCGGGTTGTATACGTATTAAAATTACGTTCACGGAATATGTAAATTACGTTACACATCACACATGGTTTAAATAAAAATAGCGAGCGTAAATCATTTTCAATACATGTACATACGTATAGGTAACATCATTATGCAAAAATATTTGATTTGTATGTATAGGTAGAAATATCTTACAACCTGCAATGTAAAACGATGTCAATGTGACATATCTCCGTGATTGTAATTTTTTAATTGGCCAACTTTCAAGGTCAATTTCTTTTTGGTACTAGGACCAAAAGTATCCACTTTTTGTACAGTTGCCATGGTGAAAGTGATTAATCCGCAAAACGTCAATTTTAGGCTCAAAAAATAGCGTCTTATTCAGGTGATTGGAGAAAAAACTAAATTTTTATTCCGACAAAATCGTGGATGCAGGCGACTGGCGGCGCCGACAAGTCTTTCACTCCGTACACGCTAATTTGAAAACATTATATAATTTCCAAAGCGAGAAGCGCGAGTCGGCGCTGGTAACCGGTAAGCGAGAAACCTGCCTTCACTCTGTTCGTAACCCTAAGATAGAACACGAGTACCCGAAGAGTCTACTTCAAGTTAGACGTGTAGGGTTTAGATAGATCATTTCCAAAATAAGTCACGTCACCAAATGACGACTCAGGTTATTTGACTTCCCGAAACCCCATCTAATTCAGCAGGGCGCGCTCAATCGAATTGGAAAACGTAAACTATGGCATAGATAGGTAAATGTCGTGAGTTTGTAGGTGTTCGGATATATTCGGTGAAGCGGTGCACTGAATAAGGATGGGGTTCGGAAATTCGCGGCCGGGCTGTCTTGCTTCAATGAGGGTGTTCTCAAATTGACTAAGCGCGAGGTTATAATTAAAGTTACAATGAAGTCCCACGTATACTGTAAAAGTGTAAAGTGTGGCAACGAAAACGGGTAACGTCTAATTTGATTCAAAGACGAAAAAGGAAAGGAATGGAACTAACTGAATGTTCAAAATGTAGTCAAGACGGTGGTAGTTTTTGTATTGTGGAAGAACGATTTCTGCGCTTGAAAAGAGGAGCACATACAGTGTCGTACATGTGGATGTAAATTCTTGGTTCAATAAGAAAATAATCTTGCTCTTCTAGAGTAGAATGATTTTGCTATGCTGTCTTTCAAGATGAATTAGGCATATTTACTTTGGTCAAGTAAGCATCGGACAGAACAGATCGCAGCTTCAGCTGTTACTTTTAGCGACAAAAACTTAGTTAGGTATAGGTTAGGTATAAAGGCGGCAATAGTTTTCCCGTTTCTTGCACATAGTTTGGATGTCATGGATCGAAAGAGTATAACTCACATTAATAGAGACAATCCCCCCCAACTTATACTGAAGGCTAACAAATTAGCTCCGTACTTTGGTGCCGGAAGCACTCCTGAAGTGTATGTATAACATCTTTTTTTGTTACTGCTGACCGAGAAGTAGGTACTAATTTCGAAGGTATATTTTTTATTTTGCAAAAATAATTTACTTATCTATAACAATAAATATAAAATTCTAGTCTATTCCCAAGCGAATGATGTACAGCGGCAACCTGAAGGCTCGGGTCCACATTGTGTAAGACTGCCGGAAAGAGCGGACTTGCCACGGCATGCGTTCCAAATTCCACAAGATATGGTGCAACCTAAACTGAATCCTCCTGCCTCTACGTTGTTAATGTGGGCGATGAGGACCATTGCCATCACCAACGCAGAAATCACAACAATGTTCTATGAAAGAAGTAATTATGCTACCTATCTTGTTAGTAATAATAAATTATAACTTACCTTCATATTTGGTATAGAAGACTGGCGTACTTAGCAGATATGCAGACCGTTGTGGATGAACAGTAACTGATATTCATTGCTCGTGATTTTATCCTTTTATATTAAACTGTGTGACTTCGTTACTAAGATAATTTGGTGGATAATGTAAGTCCCGAGGTAAGTCCCCTTTATCGTTGGCTCTGAGCATTGCATAATAGTAACATGTTGCCTGAACTCGTAAAGCTTTATTAAATAAAAACATATAATCGGCAGGTCGAAAAACCCAAACAAGATAAATAAACAAGTTAAAAAGTAATCGTAAACGATTTACATAAAGCGCATTTCCACTTGCATTCATTTCCCATTTGTAAGATGCAACTTCTATTAAAATTGTAAAAATCCGGCCACAAATATGAAAGATAGCGATGCACATGCGCAATCCATTTTTGACGTGCTACTTCAATTTCAGTTTATGAGAAGAATTTCATTTCAATGCTTTTCTAAATAAGAAAGTTGGAACTGCGCATGCGCAAACCTAAATTTTGAAACTAATGTTAGATTTTTCTTTGTTCCAAGCGCCTAAGTATCAAATTTCATTCAAATACTTTTATAAGTAAAAAAGTTTGCAATTCGGTTTACAAATGGTCGAGATGCGAAAAGGGCACTGTGAATTTTGAATCGATTCGACTCAACTTTTGGCATTGCGTATTATTATGGCTAAATCTATGCCCATATTGAATTTCATGCAATTCAGTTCATAACTAATGGAAATGTAAAAGCGGTCGAACATTTCTAAACAAAGTTATCGTTCACACGGACAGATAGATGGACAGACAGACAAAGGAACAGACGGAGAGACCAACCGGCAGGCGACAGATAGCAATGCAAAATTATTAACGATCTCTAGGATCGTTAATAAACGGCAAAAGTGTAAAATTATGGAACATGTAAAAAACGGTTTTTTGTTTTTTTTACAGTAACTTTTTTTGTAAGCGGTACAGAAAAAATTCCTTCCTTGGTACAAGACTCGACACCATAACGAACCAAATAGCGAAAAAGTAGAACAATAGCTCTTAAGATAAAAAACTAGTAGCGTCGCAAAGTTAGCGGACGGACGGACGGACAAAGTGGCCACAATAGCGCATTTTTTTTTTATTTTTGTGGAAATGCGCTAAAAACCGAGAGAAGAGGATTACCACTTTTGCAGTTGAGACTCTTGGGCATTTCAGTGACACTGCCAAGCGATTAGGCAAATGCACATAAAGCTTTTAGGTGCCCCAAAAATCCAAACCTTCCTCAGTCATCGGATCAGCTTAGAAATTACACCTAAGCTGTCAGCATGAAGAGAACCACCCCTTCCATGGGTTCCCGTGAACAATTTTCTATTATAACATAAATCTTAATTTTATAATAATTCATTATTAAATAAACTTATAACAGTTCGTAAAGGTAAAAATTAAATGTTCTTATTGCACTTCACATATTATTTTTGAATAAACTGAACTAAATTGATTTAAAGAACGACACGGGCGGGATGATGAATGCGACCGAAAATTTCCAAAAGTAAAAAGGTTTTTATAAGAATAAATAATTCCCCGTGTTCCCTTAGAATTTGTGCACAATGAAATTAAAAAAGTTGACAGGTCAACCGATAGCGTTACTCAATGAAAGATAGCGGGGATGTATTTATTTACATCTTATAAATAGAAACTGGTAGCCTGCAACAAATTATCAGATTTACGTCACGTTACTTGTTATAAAAGAATCGAATCCCGAACACTAAATATCAGTTATTCGCAATCGTTTAAGGAGCGATCAGAATTGAGCAATCAACATGAAGGTAAGACAATAACACCCAATTGTTCTAAACCTTTTATAATTAACATATAACTTTGTTTTAACAGAATATTGTTGTAATTTCGGCTTTCGTGATGATGATGGTCCTTGTCGCCCATCTTGGTACCGTGGAAGCGGGAGGGTTTAGTTTGGGCTGTACCATATCCTGCGGAATATGGAACGCTTGCCGTGGAAAGTCCGCTTTTTCTGGAAGCCTCACCCAATGTGGACCAGAACCTTCAGGCTGTCGCTGTACTTCTTTTTATTGGGAATAACCCAAAATCAGTATTTTGCAGAAAATATTTATTTCTAATTTAAGATTATGTATTTTTTTAATAAAAATTGTTTGATTTAAGTTTTGTTTATATACCTATCGTCAATTCGCAATCATTAGGTAGACATAGAACTTTCTTTGAATAGACACAAATGTGGCCTTCATTAATGTGATCAATGTCTTCACGATGTTCTTTAGTCCCTTTTTAGCGCATTTCCACAAAAATAAAAAAAAAATGCGCTATTGTGGCCACTTTGTCCGTCCGTCCGTCCCGTCCCGTCCGCTGTCCGTCTCCGTCCGTCCGTCGTCCGCTCTTTTGCGACGCTACTAGTTCTTTATCTTAAGAGCTATTGTTCTACTTTTTTCGCTATTTGGTTCGTTATGGTGTCGAGTCTTGTACCAAGGAAGGAATTTTTTCTGTACCGCTTACAAAAAAAGTTATTGTAAAAAAAACAAAAAACCGTTTTTTACATGTTCCATAATTTTACACTTTTGCCGTTTATTAACGATCCTAGAGATCGTTTATAATTTTGCATTGCTATCTGTCGCCTGCCGGTTGGTCTCTCCGTTTGTTCCTTTGTCTGTCTGTCCATCTATCTGTCCGTGTGAACGATAACTTTGTTTAGAAATGTTCGATCGCTTTTACATCTCCGTTAGTTATGAACTGAATTGCATGAAATTCAATATTGACATAGCTTTAGCCATATAATACGCAATGCCAAAAGTTGAATCGAATCGATTCAAAATTCACAGTGCCCTTTTCGCATCTCGACCATTTATAAACTGAATTGCAAACTTTTTTACTTATAAAAGTATTTGAATGAAATTTGATACATAGGCACTTGGAATAAAGGAAAATCAAACGCCAATTTCAAAATTTGGTTTTGCGCATGCGCAGTGCCAACTTTTTATTTATGGAAGAATTTAAACGAAATTTGATACATAGGCACTTCGAATAAAGGAAAATCAAACGCCAATTTCAAAATTTGGTTTTGCGCATGCGCAGTGCCAACTTTTTTATTTATGGAAGAATTTAAACGAAATTTGATACATAGGCACTTGGGATAAAGGAAAATCAAACGCCAATTTCAAAATTTGGTTTTGCGCATGCGCAGTGCCAACTTTTTTATTTATGGAAGAATTTAAACGAAATTTGATACATAGGCACTTGGGATAAAGGAAAATCAAACGCCAATTTCAAAATTTGGTTTTGCGCATGCGCAGTGCCAACTTTTTTATTTATGGAAGAATTTAAACGAAATTTGATACATAGGCACTTGGATAAAGGAAAATCAAACGCCAATTTCAAAATTTGGTTTTGCGCATGCGCAGTGCCAACTTTTTTATTTATGGAAGAATTTAAACGAAATTTGATACATAGGCACTTGGGATAAAGGAAAATCAAACGCCAATTTCAAAATTTGGTTTTGCGCATGCGCAGTGCCAACTTTTTTATTTATGGAAGAATTTAAATGAAATGTGATACATAGGCACTTGGAATAAAGGAAAATCTAGCGCCAGTTTCAAAATTTTATTTTGCGCATGCGCCGTGCCAACCTTTTTTATCTATGGAACTATTTAAGTGAAATTTGATACTTAGGCGCTTGGAACAAAGGAAAATCTAACATTAGTTTTAAAATTTAGGTTTGCGCATGCGCAGTTCCAACTTTCTTATTTAGAAAAGCATTGAAATGAAATTCTTCTCATAAACTGAAATTGAAGTAGCACGTCAACAATGGATTGCCCATGTGCAACGCTATCTTTCATATTTGTGGCCGGATTTTTACGATTTTAACAGAAGTTGCACTTACAAATGGGAAATGAATGCAAGTGGAAATGCGCTTTATGTAAATCGTTTACGATTACTTTTTAACTTGTTCAAGTATTGACGGGTAGTTGTGGTAGTAATGATACTTTATATGATATACGACATGAGTCTGAAAGAATGTATACTGATTTTGTTCTTGAGTTTTGAGAAGAGGTTTGTGGTGGAATTCTAGGTGGTAATTTCACAGTTTACGGGTTCTTTAAATTTGTTGGGTGAGTGCAATTTACGTTGGTACTTTTTAGGTATTTCTTAGGGTATAGCACCTCCTCGTTCGATCTCTAACAAGTTACGCTGGTGTTAAGCATAGTATTAAAGCATTAAAGTCGTTATTTTGGTATAATGAATGCAGATTCTTCGTGTGCAACTGCGGCTCTGCGATTTTATTTATTCTTGTCTTGAACTCTATGATGACATTTTTGTTTTGATGTAAGGGATGACTGAAATGATAATTCACATATAGAATTCAGGCCAGATTAATGATCTGTCATAAATCAGATTTCCGTTCTATAGTAGCTTTTTGTGGATTCGCAATCCTTTGATACAATCCAAACGTTCTAGACCATAGCAGATAATCCAAGCAAAGGTAGGCACCTAGAACGCTTTCTTTTATTCATCATTTGTGTTTTACTACTACAAAACACCCCTTCCTAGTATTCTTCTGAAAATCGCCCATATTTCCGTGTCCCAGGAACTTCTTTCCACAAAATTTCATCATCTAAGTGTTTATTATAATTGACCTGCCACTTTTATTTAATAATTTCCATGCTTAATTGCATTACCGCCAAATTCCTTAGCCAACCCAGATACACGTAAAGCGTATATCTGGGGTACCAATATCTACAGTGCCCTGTGGTATGGTTGAACCCTCCTGTTTCGACATTACCAAGGTAGATCGTAAGAACCATCACCATGGGTGTCTATTCACAAAAAAAATCTGGATCGTTCTTTAAGCGAGTGAAAGAATTCGAACTAATAACGTTGTCTAAATAATTTTTTCGGTTTTGAGCTTTGAATATAAAATATATTCAAAGGTTTTGAGGTTGTACGCTTCGCGTGAATAATGATTCTCAATACAATTATAAAATGACAAAAAATAAGTCCCCATTATCTCTTACTATAATTGGATTAAAATGAATCAATCGTATTTTATCTTATATGGGTTTTTGTTATTTATGTATAGCAAAGATAAAGAGGGGATATACTTTTTTCAATGAACTCTAAAAACTTTTTTACACCATTCAATCACACCGACGAGATAGTAACAACGTCACACAGATTGATATAAAAGGATAAAATCACAGACACTGAATATCAGTTTACTGTTTACCCACGAGATCTACACATCTGTTAAGTACCTACATCAATCCTCTACACCAAATATGAAGGTAAGATAACCAGTTACTTACTAATAACATCGCATAATTATTGTTTATTTCGTAGAACATTTTTATGATGTCTGCATTGGTGATGGCCATGGTCCTCATCGCCCACTTTAACAACGTAGAGGCAGGAGGATTCAGTTTGGGTTGTACCATATCTTGTGGAATCTGGAACGCATGCCGTGGAAAGTCCGCTCTTTCCGGTAGTCTTACACAATGTGGACCTGAGCCCTCAGGTTGCCGCTGTACATCATTCGCTTGGGAATAGCTAAAGAATTACTAGAGTTTTACATTTATTGTTAGTTTAGTAAATTATTTTTGTAAAATAAAAAATATCTTTTAAATTATCTATTCTAGTACCTACTTCTCGGTCAGCAGTAACAAACAAAAAGAAATTATTCCTTCAAGAACGCTTCCGGCAGCAAAGGCGATATACATGTGTGCACGATGTTTAAATTATTTGCTATCCAAATGTTACAAATGTTTTGACACTAGGTATACACTTAAAAAATACATGTACCACAGACCCGGCTTCTAACCGGAAACTCTCATACATACGAATTTTTAGTGAAAGTGTCATATGTCAGACATGTTCTTTCGTATACATTACATTAGGTGTAGACGAAAATCAAAACAATATACATACGTAAAGACAGGCTACATTTTGCAGCACCTCACAGATTAAGTAAAAAAAATTCACAGATTTCGCAATCCATGCAACCATCGGAGACATTGCAAATAATAATCGTATCCAGGAGTGGATGGGGAACCATAAATCGGTCCGTGAAATATACCTACTCAACGCGCCCTAACTGTTGATAATTATTTTACAACAACATAAATGCTTCTAGATTATTGTTACACAATCTGTTCCTTAATCGATTTTTTATACATTTCAGAATTGCGAAAGAATAAGTTAACAGGTAGGTACTGATGATGGGCATAAGTGAGTGCCGTATATTAGAACGTAAATTTAAGTACGTAATTTATTTATTCACAATTAATTATTTAATCAATTAATTAATTTATGTCTTAAAATGGATTAATTTATAACAGTAATTATAACCGCGAACTATTCATTACTTTGGCGTTGAAATTGGAACTGACCGATACGCATTCAATTTGCTTATGTAGCAAACGCCGCTCTTTCTCGAAGGCTCCCGAGTATTCTAGAATGTTCTTGAACAAACACGTCGTATTTCCCGGAAAGATTGCGTCACATCTGTCTTCACTCTTTATCGCCGATTCATCTTCTTTCATGGCGCCTGGGGATTTCTAGAATATTCGCTACAATGTTTCTTGATATAAATTCTACTGGTAGTCGCATCTAGAACAGTTATGACAACTATCACAATCGGGCATTTTTAGAGAAATCATCTACATTTTGTTTTTTTATCTGTATCGTTCGAAAGCAATGTGGTCGACAATTTTTATACATTTTTTTTCAACAAAATCCGACAGGATCTTAAAATTTCTTCTCGTAATCGAACAGGTGTTGCAAGATCATCCAGTAGATGATTGGGTAATACTTCATTTTTAATATCAGGGTTAAAAAGGAAAGATCCATACATAAATCTGTATTCTTTGTGAAAGTCTACCTTTAATAGATTCAATGGCTTGATTTTAAGAGTCTGAACATAGCAAGATCAATTATCTTCCAATTTATTATTTATTAATATCTTTATTAGTTATTTCATCTTTAGCGCATCTTTGCAAATTTATGTGTAAAAGGTAGCTTTTAATCTCACTTGAGCCACCTGGCTCGCTGGCTGGCAACAAATGCGGGTCTGTCGAAAAACGCTTGGAGGAAGACGAGGAATGTACATACATGTACCTACCGGCGGCGTAGTGTAATTAACAACTTAATGGACGGGGCTACATGATATGCGGTCGGCGACATTTGGGCGCCATTCCCGAGCCTGTTGTACTAACGTGGTGATTTTTCCTATCTTCTCCTACAGTTTTGGTCCGATTGCTTTGCAAGGCCCCTGCCTTCGAGGGATAGTCGACTTTGGGCACCCAAAAGTTTCTTAAGAGCTCGAATCGCGGTCTCTCTTTCTCTCATGTCGCCAATAGAAGCTGTAACTATAAGAAGTGCCCCTAAAATTGAATACTATTTTGTGGGGGATTTTTCGTAAAATCCACCAAAATGTGAATTGCGGGTGAAGGGGACGTCGGAGATGGGTACCGACAAAGGGAATGTGGTTGCCTTCAACAAGATCTTATTGATCGACACGAGGACTTTGATAACTTTTAATTCGCAGGGATCTTCCTACGAATACCCTGGTGTTACTGAATATTATAACGATCTCGACAACATTTAGAAAACACGTGACGCTGTCCTTCTTCGTCCCGAATCATGAACTTGGTTAAACGCACTCCCGCTTGCTGAACTAGGAACTATATTAGACATCAAGTCTACCTTCCGGATAGTGGTCTCCTTGATGGGATGGGAAATGCCTTTTCTAAACCCCACGGCTAACTGCGGACTTGAAGTAGATTCTTCGGGTATTCCTGACCTATCTTGGTCGAAAAATGCAGGATGACATCGCCGACACCTAGCCATTTGCTAATTTACCAAAAACTATGGCATTAAAAAACAACGAAAAATATAGCAGGAGAACATTTGCAAGTTCGATTCTGGAAAAATTACGTTTACCCAAAATCGTCATGCAACCAGGGAGAGTTTAGATTTCATGACATAAGCAAACCAGATTGCTTTTTCTGCCGCCTGTCACTTTACCGGCCGCACCTGTCACTTTTCCGTCCCCACCTGTCACATTGCTAAATTTCTGTAATTATTTATTTTATATATTTATTTATTATCTCTCTCTTCTTCTGGGCCCTCAACAGGCTTGTGCCCTACTACAGCATAATGCTATTTAGATGTGCCTCTGCAGAAGGTCTTAAGTTGTTCTATACTACTCCGGTATTTACCTTACGAATTAGGGAAACTGCAGGAAAACCTAATTCGGAGTAGCTGGCAGAATGCTCGAAACTGGTCTAAGGTAATTCCCATCTCTGCCACAGATGAAAAATTCACCTCAACCCAGGTTCGAACACCCGACCTCCGGATTTATAGTCCAACGCTCTACCACTGAACCATAAAGCCGGATAAATAAGTGACTCCTGTCATCACTGACAGATTGACATTAATCAAATGTTCTGTAAGTATGAAAATATTATAATATTAAAATACGATTTCGGGTAAAATTGAATACAAAACTCGTCAGTAAAATGACATTACTTTACTCGGAAATTTAATATTTCCTCAGTAATGTGTCATTTTCCTGACTTTTATGTAAATAACTATTAAATTTGGGCAGTAATTACAAATTACTTACCGGCCGATAAAAAATTTTTTCATGCGTTTATACTACAGCAGTTCACGTGCAAATGGTTTAACTTCTGCAATGAAGTTCTCGAATTTTTGTCATGTAAGGAACAAAATCTACACGAAATCGTTATCTTAGTTGCTCACTAATCGCTCGTTAAATAAATAATAAGTTGCAAAAGAATAATGGCTTAAGTTAGTGGTTTTTCGTGACGAACGTAACAGGAATTGACCTCTAACGTTTTAAATATAAAAGCGCCCTCGAACAAAAAAACTTGTCATAGTGTGTCAATGTACTGGAGTGAAAGAATAAGCAATGAAGGTTTAAAATGTAAATCAAAGTGATAAACATCCCTTAATCCTTTATGTTTTACAGAATTTTGTAATGGTTGCCGTATTGGCGATGGTGGTGCTTTGCATTGTTCATCTTGAAAAGGTGGAAGCAGGCGGAGCATTTAGTTTAGGCTGCACTATGTCTTGTGGAGTATGGCACGCGTGTCGAGTACAATCAGTGTCCTCAGGAAATTTGGAAAATTGCGGAAAAGAGCCCTCAGGTTGTAACTGCAACTCATTCTATTTCGACAACTAAAGTATGAAAGATTAATAAAGTTTGCACATCCAGCTTAATTTGTTTACCTATGCTTTTGCAATATTTTTGTTTCTATACAGAATCGCCTGTTTGAATAGTTCGAGGGTAGCAGCAGGGAACATAGAAAAACACAAAAACACCTAAGTATTGCTTTGAACCAATAGAATATCGATTCAGTGCGACAAAAAGAAGAGAAGAAACACAAAAGAATTATGTAAATTGTGGAAGTAACTAGTTCTCTATTTTGGGGTCTGTAGGGTTCAAAATCTCCAAAAAACGCAATATTGGCATATAGAACATTTATCGCGATTACAATACTTTCCTTTATACCCACTTTGTAATATAGTCCTTGGGTTTCTCCGGTAGTCCTAGTGAAGGAGAAATACAGCTCCATCAGATCTTGTGTAGATTATCGTCAGATCAACAACGTGACTAAGAAGGACAGCTATCCGTTACAGTGAATTGACGACACATTAGATACTGTTGTTGGATCAAAAATATTCACAACGTTAGATTCACAAAGTGGTTCTTAGGATGTGGAGTTAGCTCCAGAAGATAAGGGAAGACGGCCTATAGCCTTGGATCAGTATTATGGCAATTCACCGTCATGCCATTAGGATTGTGCAATGCGCAAGTCACTTTTAAGCGACAAACCGAATCGGTTCTTAAGGGATTATCCTGGAAGACTTGCTTGGGATGAGGCCCAAAATGTGCAATCTCTTCCGACGCCGCGTGTTATATTTGGAGCAAATTGTATCTTGCGAAGGAGTATATGTTGACTCGGTAAAGACAGTAGCGATCCAAGATTGGTCTGAATAAACACCAACTGAGAAGCTTCCTGGGTTTATGTACGTTACAGAAGACGTTTTATATGGGGATTTGCAAACATCGCGGAGCAGTTTCAAGTGGAACAACAATACTTTAGAGTTATAGGCAATAGTCAAGTCTGTGCAGAAATTCTTGCTAAGGACCGATCATACCGTTTTGAAATGGCTACTGATTCAAGAATCCCGCAGGTCAGGTAGCAAAATGGATTGAACGTCTGCAAAAGTCTGACTTTGACATCGACAGGATGGAAATGTTGATGCTCTTTCAAAATGACCGTGTGCAGAAAATTGTGGACATTGTCGACGAGCCAAGGAGAGACGAGTTGGTCCAAACAACTCAGGTGGCAGATGAAAAACGCGAACCCGCGGAACTAGCTAAAGACCAACCAGAAGAGCCTGACTTAAAATTGTTCGCGGAATGTAAAGCAGCCGGGGAATAACCTTTATGGGACCAGGTGGCATGTAGAAACCATCTCTCAAATCTTATTGGGCGCAATGGGGTTCTATTATTAGGGACAATGATGGCCTTCTCAAGCAAAATCTACAAAGCGAAGATGGTCGCGAGGAAATAAAACAGCTCTTGGTTCCTAGATAGAAAGTTTAACAGAACTCTGGAAAAAGTGTGAGTAAGAGTTTACTAGGCCAATCTGAAAGATGATGTAGCAGAATGGTGTCGCAAGTGTGTTGTTGGCGCTGTTTGGTCCGCAGAGGCGCCCTAAAGCACCCATGTAATAATACAATGTTGGAAGTCCCTTCGAAAGAGTTGTAATAGCCACAGCGGGACCATTTTCAAAAACTGATGGAGGAAACAAGTACATTATGGTTGTGATGGACTGCTTCAGCGAATGGGTGGAGGTCTACGCTTTGCCAAACCAAGAAGCGGTCACCGCAAACGATTTTGTGAGATAATGGATTTGAGGATTTGGAGCTCCTCATGAAATTCATTCGGACCAAGGTAGGAATTTCGAGTCTCTGTTATTCCAGAAGGTCTTCAAGGCTATGGGTATCCGAAAAAAAACAGGACAACTCCATTACATCAACAATCCGATGGATTGGCGGAGAGAATGATCAGAACAATTAATAGACATCTTTCCCAAGTTATCGCTGACCCTGTCTCTGACCGTCAACAAGACTGGAATCAACATCTACAATTATTCCTTACAGCTTATCGTTCTTGGGTGCCCGAAACTACCGGACAGACTCCTTCAAATATTATATTGTAAGAGAAATAAGGTTTCCAGGTGACCTGATGCAAGTCTGGATTACGTGTCCCCGATTATCCCCGAGTATGTCAGCAACCTCCATTGGAAGATGAATGAAGTTCACGATATGGTACGTAATAACATCGAAACAACCAGTGACTGTATGAAAGAAGAGTATGACGTCCGAGCTAATGCAGGTGGAGCTGGAGATTATGTCTGGTTTTTTAATCCCAAAAGAAGACGTGGGGAGGTATTTTCCAAAGTCACAAAAGTCGTGGGAGGGCCTCTGCGAAGTTATAAAGTGATGTAGTTTACTAGATCCCGAAACCGCCTCGAGTCAAACCAAAGTAGTTCATTTTAAAAGATTGACGTCGTAGATAGGTGTAGTAAGGAAGGGCAAGTAAACAAAATGGAAAGACTACGTATGGGACCGGGCACAAAGCTCGTTTTGGCGTAAAAGAAAGTCTCATCTAACTAAAGATGAGCAAAGGAACTACCACGGTTTTTAAAAAGAGATATGAAAGAGTAGAAGGGTTACGTCGGCAAAATCCTAGAGTTGGAAATGTACTTAGTGTCATAAAAAGGGATCGGTCAATATTTCACTTTGTAACCAAAGAACAATCACATGAGAAGCCAATGTACGAATCAATTTGGTTTGTTCTACAATCACTTAGGAATCAACTTGTAGCTGGGAGGATCCATAAAATTGCGTTGCCTAAGATCGGCTGGATGTTGGAGAATATTAACCCCTGAGGTCTTGTTTCAATCAAGATTGTGTTATTGTATGGAAATCCCGTTTAAAAGGTTGTGGGGGTTGCAACCCCTAGTACAGAGTTATAGTTGCAAAAATTATTTTTGCATAGAAATATACCGTTTTTGAATTCTTTTCAAAACATTTATTTCACAGAATGGAGGGTACAAATTTTCGTTAAAACGTCTGGTATGATATAGTAATTTTTAGAAGTTTGAATACTGAAGGAGTAGATTTCCATGTGGTCTGTGCCCTATCATGTGGAATATGGAATGCTTGCTGTGGAAAGTAGACATTTTTAGAAAGTCGTGGACAATGCGGATCGGAACCCTTGGGCTGTAGCTGTACCTTCTTCCACGCGGATTATGACAGATTATGATTATGATTATAATATTATGGATGATGATTATAATATGATTAGGGATTATGGAATGATAGTATCAAATATTATCGTTCATATTCAGGGTGTCTCAAATAAAATTTGTACTGCTTACTAAATCTATTTTCCGGAAAATATTATGGCCACTGTTCCCTCTACAAGATGCCAGTTTTAAATTTTAAATCCGACGTTTCGTCTCCATTTAAGCATCATGAACTGTCTTATGGAAGTCATTTTTACTTTTTGTGTCATTTGATATTTATTTCGAAATACCTTTTTTAATAACTTGGGTAAAAAATAAAAGTGATTTGCAAAATGTTGTATTTTTCCTGATATCTCCGAAAGTAATCGAAATTTTTTGTTTCAAAACTGCATTTTGTTAAACATCAAAATACGCAACTTTGCCAAATTTAAACTACCAACCTATCTCTTACAGTTTCCGAGATTTTCATGGTGGCCCTAGAATTTGAATGAGCTTGTATAGTTACTAGTCATTTTTAGCGGATTTTTGAAAAAAAATACGCTATTATATTCGGTATGGCTGGCTGGCTGTGCGGCTGAGATCTCAGTAATCACAGTAGGTAGAGACTTCAAATTTTCACTAAAAGCTTTCTGTTATAGTGTAGATGTGTAGGCTCTAGTCTATTATAAGTTAGATTACTTGCGAGATCGATAATTTTAAGCTTTGCTAAAAATAATGATCTGAATTACCAAAAATGCGCTTACATCATGCATATATGCTGATTGACTTGTTTGGTTGTAACTCAATAATTTGCTTAACACCTCACATAACTGTTATGGTACCCCATCGTAAGAAAAGTCAAACATGAGAACTAAGTAGACAATGTAGCTATACTAGCTTGGTTTATCGGCTTGTTGTCAATGCTGAAGAGATTTTATTGGATTAAATTTGTAGTGCCAGTGATATTACTTAATGCATAGATCACTTGTTTACAACTACCGAACCACATATATAAATTTGTACTTACAACTGTAAGGGATGCAACTGGTTGGTGGAATACCTACACGATGATCCTACACGTAAGGGAATTGCTATAAAATCGGCAATTCTCTTGCCCGTTTAGCTACTAATAACGAGGTATTGACGATTAAGCTACATGCAAAGCAGATATGTTAGATCCTTCTATGTAATTCGGACGAACGCGTCAATACCCGATAATGAGAGGTGGAGTAGATTAAATGGCAACGTGCACTAAATAATCCTCACACAAAAAATTACGTTTTCCCTTAAAATAGTGGAATAAATTGGTGAAGGGGGAAATAAACGAAAACCATTTAATAACACGCAAACCCAATAAAAAAGAACAAAAGTTTGAAACAAAAGCTAATCAGGAGTCTTTTGTGCGAGTCGCGAACGCCATTGGTGTTGAGCTTTGGAAGCACAGAGCGTTATTTTGTATACAATATCATCGCTTCCTTATCAAGCTCTCTGCCACGTTGTTAGCGATCCCACAGGACAAATAAACACCATTGTCCTCGTAACCATGGTGAAATCATGCGACAGTTTGGAGCGTTTCAGGAACCTATTATAGTCTCGGGACTTTATTCTTGACTATTCCTATATACTTACATGTTTTATTTTTCATACGTTTTTAACCACTCGCTGTCGACGATCGATGTACTTATATGCGTACGAGGGTTGCATAATGCTTAACTATTTACCTTTAGAAAATGAAGTGGCGCTCGTTGCAGCGCATTATGCAGTTTACGTGTTGCTTTCTCGCAATTTGAAATACAAAATCAATTCACCCTTCAGTGGCATAAGCCGCGTGGCGGGTGGATATGTGATGAGTAATTTTATCCATCATCTTTTAATACGTTACAACCACCAGGTATTCTACCACCCATTTCGCGAAAC